TGGTTATGTTAGGCCAGTCTAAACAGAGATTTGTAGAAATTTGTTTTCAGAAGCAGTGGATGACTGATGAGACGCTTCTCAGTGTTCAGCAGATCGGAAACATGAGTGTGGCATGTATTAGATCTTTTTGATTACAGCTTGTATCAAATCCAACTTGTACTTTTCCTCTGTTTGGGGTTTTCCCATCAGAAGTAGTTCCTGGATACGCCGCTTCAAAGGTCGTTCAAGTGGATCAGATAAGCACCCATGATGACAATGAAAAGCCATGTTGACATAATTTCATGTCTGTCTTATCCCAATGTCAACATGACCTACATCTTGTGATATCTCCAAACTCAGGGATGTGTGTCTTGGCCGGACGATCGCAGTGAAAGTGACTGTTTTTATGATATTTACATCTCAGATCCCTGGCCTTCGACAGCACACTGTACAAGAGCAGGTTGGCAACAATACAGGAAGCCCTCTTTGCCTTTATGACTTCCTCCGTGGCGTACAATAGACCACAGGAAGATTGCAGATAGTTGACTGGAAATAGCTCAGTCCTTTGGCTGCAGATGGGAATGGGAATGTCTACAGCCTGCAATGCCATTCTTCGTAATAGACTTTCTATAATTCATCCTTTGCTTTGATACAGGCCTGTCATCATAACAAATAAAGTGAATATTGACAAATTTAAACAGAACTAGAGCTTGGAGGCACACGGTACAATGCAGGTTAGAGATATTGCCTCACAGCAAGATGGTCCTGGGTTTGATTTCTGGACGGTGCAGAGAGTTTAAACAGAGCGTTTACGGGTTCTCCACGGCTTCCCCTTTCACTAAATATGCACAACTTATAGATACAGTATATATACATACAGTATGCATCCATCAGTGTGTGTGAAGTGAATGGAAGAAGCCTGCCACGATTCTAAAAAAAAATATATATTTTTTAAAGTGCTGTCCAAATAAAAATGTCTTATCTCTTGCTTTGCTCCCTTTTTTGTTAGTGAAACTAAAAAGAAGCATCTCCACACACGCACACACACACACACACCCCAAAACCAACACCTTCACACATCTTTCTTATTCAGTTTTAATAACTGTTTCTCCTTTGACAAGATTATCCATTCCACAGTAAAAATTACAATTGATCATGATGATGTTTGGAATGCCCTGGATTGCTTTATATGATAATGTGTCCCAGTTCCTGACAATATTCAGCAACCAAAATTGCACTCAGCCTATAGTTTGGACATTCCTGGTCTTAAAGTTGTTGTAATTTGCAAAGAAGAGTACAAACTATTCCAAGCAGCACAATCTCTATTAGGCCTACAGTAGTTTCCAAATCACAGATATCCTTTGACCTGTACTATCACAATCATTAAAACATAATCATTTCAAAGTAACTCTTATATATCGTATATGTCCAACTTTTTGCTCACACCACCTCCTTTGTGATTTACTTTCTTTACTTTCCCATAGAACCTCCATGTGTGGATTTGTCAAAAATTAGTCCATGGCCCAGTGTGAATTAAACCAAGCGGTGAAAGACTTGCCACAAGGCGGGAACGAGGAGAGGAAGAATAAAAGAGGGGGGGGGGGGTGTTGGGGGCCTTTTTTCCTTGAAAACTCCCTGAAAACCACAGACACATGGTACAGAATTCCCCTTTTGCTGTAGGAGCAGAAAGAGGGAGGGCCCGCGCAGCTTGCAAGACAACACCACACACAGTTCAGATATTATGTGTTTCACCAAAAAAAAGAAAAAAAGCTTGGAGGATGTGTAAAGACCTCACTGTATACACAAAAACGCGCCACAGAAATGGCATACTCTTTGAGGACTTTCCTAACTACGACAATCACCAGCCATCATTCAGGATTATTCCCACAGTACAGACCATGTGCTTTCAAATTCTTGCTTATGGGTTGTGTATAGACTATTTTATGTAATTCTCTGCGTATAAAATGCACTGTGGGTATTGCAATTGTGTGGGGAAAAGGTGAAGGGTGAGGGCGTGTGAATCAGCCGATGATCTTGGGGCCAGTGCGCACCCAATGACCCTGAAACGAGACACCCAGGAGCGCATGTTGTAAAAGCACGCCATAGCCTATTTGGTTCGTTTTGGGAATTCCGTGGAACATTTTGTCTTTCAGCCGGAAAGTTATCAGAATCCTGCAGCGGAATGTGTCACGGTCTGGCGCTTAAGGTCGTGCATGAGCGTGGAGTGTGTGAAGATCTATAACAAACGTGCTCGCGTCGCCATCTAGCGGTCAACGCGCGCTATTGGGAATCTCCCAATTGTAGCAGCTGAATTAATTTCGCTCTGATTTTCCCATTGTTTTACGTTTTTATTCGGTTATTCAAATCACCAAAACATATTTCCAAGTCTCAACCATCCATTTGCTTTCACTTTTTCCCCTTGAATCATCCATTAACAATGTGTGGCTTATAAACTCTGTGGTCTCCGTCTGGGAATTGGGGCACAAGAAATAGGGACGCATCAGTATATCAGTTATAAAAAGCCTCCACTGTGACCTTCCCTACGGCTTTCCTTCCTTAGCACAAACATAACGTTATGCAAAACAGTACAATTGTGGGGACTGGGCTACCCTCCCTGACCTTGTTGAATTCTCTCAGCCTCTATCTCAAGATCCCCAAGATGTTTTCCCTCTTAAGTTCCAATTTCTCCCAAGAGTTTGGCCGTGCAATTCAGAGGTCACCATTTCCACACGGCACAAGGTCATAGCACAGAATGTTGTGAAGCAGAATTTGTTAAGAATTTAAATCTACAGTAGTCAAAGATGGATTATTTTCAGGATTTTTGTACAGTAGTGGATTAGCCTTATTGAACTATTCCACTGCTTGCTTTCACAGACTGTGGAACGCTCTTCCCATTGTCCTAAACATCTTTACCAGACTCTTGAAATAAAGGCTGAAATCAGAGCGCGGTATACACATGTTTGAAAAGTTTGAAATCTTATGTGATGTCTACATTTATGTCCTTAAAGGCCTCCTATGGACAAGCGTTAAAAACTATGGTCTTTCTACAACAGTGGGGAGCATCTGTCCAATCCAACTGTTCTGTCCATATCCAACAAATTAAAAAAAAAACTTTGACGTTGCTTTCAATTGAACTTTTTTTCAAGTTACAATTTGATATTGGCTACTTTGGAGCCTCTACCCAAGCCAAGAGTGCTGTAGTGTAAGCATTATTCATGTAAACACCTATCAAGGGTGTCAGAACTTATGAGGGCAGCCTGTATTGTAAAACTTGACTGGATTCGGGCTGTTGGGGTTGATTATTGTTTCTCAGTGCAACTACATTGGTGTCAATATGGAACTTTATGACACAAAAACTCCTCTCGGTACATACGAAAAGTTAACTATAAATAAAATAGAGCTTTACAAAGAGGTACAGCATGTATATCGGTGGTGGGGCTGAAGTTTGCTGGATGACACTGAAAGTATCTCAATGGCTACTTTCACAAGTGTACAGTTTGGAAGTGCGTTCCTTACATTGGACTATTGGACCCACATCGGAGCAATTATTGATATTTATCCAAGTATTGAACTGGCTGAGCAAACCTGAAATTCTTGTGAACTATTGCACAAATGATGTTTGAGCAGAATGAACACGAATACATTTTTTTTTTAAACCATGAATCAGGTCAACAACATTTAACCCTGTGTTTTTCAACCTGTGTGCCATGGCCGGTTATACAAAAAAAACAAAAAACATTGGAAGTATAGTAAATAATGTGAGAAGATGGCAAATGTTTTTTTTTCTCTGTGTACGTTTGGTGATTCAACACACTTTGATGATAATAACTTATTGTTAATTAAGGTTGTAAGTTTCAATCTTGCAACATCTTCAGCAGTTGGTGTGCCACATGATTTCTTTCAATGGAAACCATGTCCCACGGCAAAAAAAAAACAGGTTGGGGAACACTGATTTAATCTATTACCTGCATCACATGATCTGTCGGCAGCAGAAAATCAAAAAAAAGAACCACAGTGCACAAAATTGGTTTTGGTAATGATCTTTTTTTATTAAATAGATTAAAGGTTGAGGTTTAAGGACTTGAAGGAGATGTTTCCAGTTGACGTGCGCAGATAATCTAACTCCAACAAACTGTCACGTTCAACATAGTCTTCAGGATCAGGCTGCAGCCCACGGAGGACAGCTCTGGCCCCACTTTCCTTTTGACTCACGCTCAGATCTGATATCTTTAATTCAGTCTCTACTTCTGCTTTTTCCAAATGCAACTTTTCCCCACCGATAGAATAATCCTCAGTGACATTTTTACTCTCCCCCATCTCGTCTGCCAAGTCCACGGTTTGATTTTGAAGCACAATTTCCTTCTGCACGGCTTCTATTTCAAATCTTTTCCCATTCCGAGTGGCAATTTTTTCATGTTTGAAGCTGCTGAAAGAAGCACTGCCAATAACATCATCATAAGTAACTCCCTGAAACTCCTTATCCGTTTTATATGGCCTTAAGCTTGCCCCGAATTTATGTATTTTAGGCTGAGGCTTAACTCTCATCATTGTGACCAATTTTGAGACGTCTGGTGACTGTTTTTGGTCACTTTTTTCCACACCGACAATAGATTTCAAATTAGTATTCACACTGTCTGCGCTTCCAAAATCCTGAATGGACTTGGACTTAGAAATTGTCTCATGGCCCCTTTCCCTATGCCCAAAACTGTACTTTTGCAAACCAGACAAACGCATAGATTTTTGTTGCATGTTGTCCATAGGTTTCCAAGAGTTTCCTCCACCAGACAGACCACTTTCAGTATTTCTACTCGCACTATACGAGTCTTCCAACGGGGTAGATGTCTCCTTATTTTGAGACCTATAAATAATAACTGCAGGATCAGACTTCTTTACATCACTATTAGGTCCAGCAATGTTATCCTCATTATTTTTCAGTATAGATTTAGCGCTTTGCATGTTTGCCTTGCTTTGCCGATTCAAATCTCGACCTCTATAACCATGATGCTGGAAATGCTGGTTGTTTACTCCCCTGGGAGCTTCTGTAGTGTAGACATTCCGGAGAAGAAGAGACTGGACTTTTCTGTAGCTGGTTTTCGCATTGCCGTTTGGTGGGAACTCGCCGTGTGTGATGATGGATGAGGTTTCTGGATTAACCACGCTCGAGTCGAAACCTCTGCTCTGTGATGGAAAAAGAGAAGATTTTTGATTTGAAAACAAGGGGGAATTGTTTGACTGCCCCTTGCGAGTTTCAGAATATGCCTCTTCTATGTTGCCATGTCCCATTGACTTGCTTTGTGGACTCTGATATCCGCTGCTCCTTAATGACATAGGGGGATTATAAGGGAATTGCCCGTCAATTCTGTATTCACTTCTGCTTTCAGGCAATGTTGACGCAACACTTTTGGGAATTTGCTCATAATCACGCGCTCTCTGAACTTGAAAGGAACTTTGAAGGAGTGGCCTCAGCTGTTGTGAGGATTTCCTGGTCATTGACGAGTGCCAAGACTGAGAATTGGTATTGTAAGGGCCAACGAGTCCAGGCAGTCCATGATTTTGAGTCTGAAAGAATGGATTATGATTCACTCTGGGAGGCTGCAGGTCCGAGTGTGCGGAAGTGCTTATCTCTGACTTAATCTCAGCCAAACGTTGCCCTCCGTGAACTTGGCTCATGGCTTCATGGTGTGGCGGGTTGTGACGGGAATTCAGGTTGTAATTCAAGGGCTCTTTCCTCAGCAGATTTGGAGGGAGATGGATCACTGGTGGGGCATCTCCACCTCGGGCCTTCCAGCTCTGTATAGTTCCAGTGTTGATCGTTCCAGGTTCAGACGGCGGCAGACCAAAGCGTCTGTACATCATCAAGGTGGAGTCAGCCTCACTGTCTAATGGAGCAGTGTAGGGATAGGCTGCGAAGAAGGGGCATTTCAAATTACTATCTGCTATAGGCACACAATGTAAGATATACAGACTCGTAAATGAACGATAACTATACTAAAATTCAAATAAATCTTTAACTTTAGCATAATAAAGAAGCAAGTATAAAATCTCCAGTTTTGGCACCCTCTTTTTGAGTAACTGTATTTGGAACATACCTTTTATTTTGGTGCTGTTCAGAAGGGTTATGACATAACGACTTGTGAAAAGTCTTTTAGTGACATGTGATTCATCATTTCAACTTTTCTTTTTTACATATTTGATTTTAGAGACCACTGTGATGGGTCACAACAAGGTCAAATTTGCAAATATATATTATACATACTAATATATTTATCCCATTTATTACAAAATTATGCAAATTAGCATAAACGTATTGAGAACGCAGTACTACAATTAGACAATGTAACAGAATAGGTTAAAAGTGAATTTTGAAACATGGTATCAGTATATCTGAAAAAAGAAACACTGCTACTGCGTAGTGCAAACTTTCATCAAGTTTTTATATAAATTACAGAGACAAATTTAAATTTAATTACAAAAATCAAACCTCTTTAAAGTGATTGTGCTACCGACCTATATATCAAATATAGTTCAACACATTATAGATGACTGCTTTAACATATGAAGGTTCAGCTTCTTATGATAACTCTTCCAGTTATAATATTGAAAGTGTGTTGATTTCAGCAATTTCATTGTATACTGTATGTCATAGTCGTTTTTAACGAGCCAATTTTCTTTCAACTGTCAAAATGGAAACAGCATCTTCTCTTAAACAAGTAACCAGTTGAGCACATAATTGCTGTGGAAATGATCCGTCAATCTCAAATAAAAGATAAAAGATTACCCTTTTCAGCAGGAGCAGCTCTGATGAATGACTCCACAGCTGCACAGACCAACACAAAGACAAAAGACAGTCTGCAAACAGAGGGTGTGTAGCTCATGGGAGATGTTGACAGAAAGACTTGAGATTTTTAGATATTCATTTTGTTTTACCTTGAAAGGAGAATAGTTTCCATGTTTCCAGGTTTGTTGCGTCACAGCTGCTTCTCCACAACTGCCACTAATTGTGATTGGGGACAATGTTGTGCACCTGCAACTTCTCTGTGCCATGGACTGAAGTTCACTTTCTGCATTTTTATGATGATGTTGAAATACAAAATGAAAATCTAATTATTTGTTAATTATATATTCAGTTTTCAATATTGGTCAATCTAACCTTGGCAGAATATTTGCCTTTTACTGTGTCATTTACCCCACAGCCATTTTATTCACCCTAAAGCAACACGGTAGAATACATAATTGTGTAAATATTGCATGATTGTGTGTTTTTATCTGTATTTTTATTGTCTGTTTTTGTATTAAATTTCAATGACCTTTTTCTAACTTGGCCCTGACCAAGAGCGTCATGGGATGGGAGAGATTATGCAGAGGCCAGATTTTTCTTACAGGGACAATAAAGTGTTGCTTAACCTTCCACCGGCTGCAGGTGTGAGATACTCCACATCTGAAAAGGACGTGCACAACAGGGGTTTGTGGTTTTTTTAATTCAATATCTGTATTTTATTGCGTTGTTCACAGATTTGTCGATATATGAATAAAAAAGCAAGAAACATACTTCTTACACTTTTTCATAACTTATAGAAATACTACACAAATAAATAAATATATAATAAAAACAAGTGACGTCATACACAGCATAGATCAGTGGTGTTGGTTTTCCAGGTGAAATATATTTGGTGTTTGAAATTCAAGTAATATGCTTTATGTTATCCATATTTATTCAGTTATTATAGTTTCAGGGAACAATTCAATAAAGAAAACAACCTCCAAAATGACCAAGTATTTCATGTATTACATTTCAAATATAAATAATCAATATTAGTAAAAAATAATAATAAGTAATAATTTAACAGTTTCTTCATTGAGGTCAGTAGTACATTCAGGAGGTGTTTGCTCTCAGCAGGAGTAGAACAACATCAACAACAGAGAAACACACATTGAGGGAGACAGATCAGAACATGTAGCTGGCAAACAAGGCAAAGTTTCTCATGTCTTCACTCGACATATCTGTAAAAATAAGAATATTCATTATTAACCAGACAAACGTCGGTGTTTTCTATTTCTATTCGGGAAAATTCCGTTACAGGATGTGACATATCGGGGATGGAATAATGACAGTAAAAGAACTAACCTGCGAAGTCGTTTTCATTCTGTTGCGCGTCTCTTCCACTGATTTTCTTCCAAACTCTCCTTAAAGTCCGCCGAAGTCTCAATCTGCTGCTCCCCATGGACAGGTCGCTGTCCTGGGCTGAGCTCTCGCACGGGGAGAGCTGTCCCTCTGTCTCCTCCTCCTTCTCTGGTTCATTTGGTTCCGCTGGGTCCTCCGTCAGCAGGAGCTCGGACAGCAGCAGCTGCTCCATGGCGCTCTCGTCCACTCTCAGCTGCGCTCTGAGGCGCTCTTCTGCGGAGACACAGGTGGTTTGTCTGCACAGCGGGCACACTATCGCCCTGTCCGCCTCATTGAGCCCCACAGCCTGGGCCAGCGCCAGCAGACAGCTCTCACAGAAGGTGTGTTTACAGTGTAGCTCCCTCGGACACCGCCTCCCTGCGTTATAGGTCAAAAAACAGACCGCACACTCCAGCTCTGCGCTCTGCTCCATGAGGCCAGCGACTGACCCAGGAGCGACTCTACTGCACCTTATATCAGTGCGAGGCGCTGCGCACGGAAGCGTGGGAGGAACTGACAATTTACCAACTACTTTTTCCATTAACTTTAGACAAAAGTGTGAGTCATAGTTTATCTCAGATAGAGCTCGTCACAGGCGTAGTCAAGAAACATTAACTCAGCAGAGATGGATCAGACCCCCAGGCCAAGACAACCAGTCCTGACAAAACACTGATCAATAGAAGCTGCTTTTTTACACTTACCCATTGATTTGGAGTTGACCAAGTCAGACTAGTGGCATAAGAGGCTATTGTAGAGGTCCAGCCAAGTTTAAATGTAATAATGTGTTACACCACAGGCTGATGTTTAGCACATAATGAGACCCATTCTTTTACAGCATTTTGACTCTATTCTATTGCTGAGTGAGAGTTTTTCAAGCTGTGATTTTGGTATTTATGTATCACAATGGCACTCAAGCTCTTTCTGATGGTACAACAAACCCTCCTTCATTTCAATTGTCTGTTTAATTCTAAATGTGGAAACACGTGGTAGTATGGAAGGAAAAGCTTATATTATTTTAGTCTATTGAACCCTCCTTGTTTTAGATAAATCATTTAGAACAAAACACTAAAAATGTAATCTCAAAGACTTCAATTTAATACAGAAATACAATGAATCCTGTTTTAGTTTTTCATATTACAATTGTTTGAGAAGCACTGGGCTCCTTTAAACTTGCTCTGTATCCTGTGTGTGACGTAGCCTTCCTCCTCCCTTCACTCTTGGCCCCAAGTCCTTCCATGGGAATTTCCGCCAAGTCTATGTGTGTATGTGTGTGTGTTTGTGTGTACTACGTGTGGGTGTGTTCTACTTGTGGGTGTGTGTGTGCATTGGATGGGGCTGGTGCTGTTGTTTGTCCCAACATGTGTCCTATTGTTTATTGATGACTTTTATATTGGCTTTCCCGATTTTTGCCATTTGTGTTGATGTTACGGTAAAACATTTAGGCTCTGTGCCCAAAATAAATAAATAAACGGAACCTATTGCTGTAAGGGAAGTGTTTCCTTTTACTGTAAACCTGCAGGTTATTTGTAAAGCTTGTCACCACGTTTAAAAAATAGGTCAAACTTTTGTTCAGCCCTCACTAAGATCAGTGATGTTGATTAAGAGCTAATTAGAGTATATTGTATGGTTAATTAGCTCTTGATTGCTATTTATTAAGCCCTTTTTTAGTCATTTTTCTACATGACCTTATTCAACATCTAACTGACACTTTCCCATGTCGGTTAGGGTTAGGGTACACTAATGAGCACTTAATTAGTGAGGACTAATGAAATGTGTTACTAAAACTTCAGTGGTAGCACAACAGTTTGTTATGAATTTCACATGAACGGGCGTTTCACTTTCACTGGAACACTCACTGTTTTGAGTCTGTGGTTTGAGATGTGAAACTGCATTATTTAGTCACAATTCATTTACACGTCTCACACACTTTCTGTTTCAGTCGAGATTGAGCCGCTCGTGTTATGACAGAAACAGAAATAGCATAAGTTAGACCTGCGTGGGCTCAAACAGAGAGATGTCTGAAAACCACATTATGAAAGCAGTTGGCACTCGTTCACAGTTGAGTGCAGATAATAACAAGTTAGAACATCCTGTTAATTAATGTGTTATTTATTAATACATTATGTTATTTTGTGAGCGGTGTCTGGAAATAACATTGGACAAGTCGAGACTGGCTGAGTGTACTGTAGTAATGTCAATACACGTGAAGTTGTTACTTATCCTCAGGAAAGGAAATATGCTAATGATTTTCTATTTATATACATTATTTTTTGTCCATCACAACTAAAACTACTTAATTCCATGTTTTAGAATGTGAAATAATACCTTCAATGGAAAATATATGGTGAAAAATTAGTAAATAATAAACAATGCTAATGTCCTGCCAGTCCCCAAGCTGCCACTAGAGGGACGTTTGGAATTTGTATTTTTCCTAAATTAGCAAATTATCGGCTACAAACATGGCCATGTGATTGCAAAGAACACGAATTTGCTTGATAAATTGAAACCTGCTCTGAGCGTTATGTGGTACGGTGACATCATACCATTACAGGAGCTTTTAGACAGAGGTGGTGGATTTACATGTCTGAGCCAAAAGTTCCTGATATAATGGATCTAAAAACAAACAATGGCAACTGTTTCTGATGAGGGACTACTGTTGAAACATGGTCCGCTAAATTGTTGATAGTAGGTCTCCTTTAACCCTTGAAACCCTAACGTTGAATGTCTATGTACTGGTGTTGTTGTGGGCCTGTATCTTGTCTGTGTGAATAAGTGTGTGGGTCTTGTTTTGTTTCTTGCCGTTGGTGTTAATGTGTGTGTGTGTGTGTGTGTGTGTCAAATCGCTGTCATGTGATTGTTGAAGGGTACTGTAGGGGAATGATTCTTGTATTGTGTTGTGTATCTGAATGCCTGGGAGATGATAACAAATAATGTACACTTTTTTCTTCATTCAACCCCTTTTAAAACGGATTTGTTTTGCTTTTATTCATTTTTTCTGTTCATAATTATTTGTGTATGTTTGCAGGTGCTGTCATTTTGTGTGTTATATGTCACTTGGTTACCTCTACATCTCCAGGGTTGTAATTACTGCTTGGCGAAGCGCGGACAGGTCTCGAGGGGTGACCAGTGAAATCAGGCGAAGGCAGCGACAAGAGCACATCAGACAAGTGTAAGGACAACAATAGGGTGGCATCTAAAGCATGAAGGATTAACCAAAAGCTACTATATTCAAGGTGAGGTCTGATCCAAGTGGAATCCAGTGGGTGAGTGGATGTTTGTGGTGCTGGAACGATGCCAGGTCTTTCTCTTCTGCTTCGCTCAGCTGCTGGCCTACATAGATACAACTAGGGCCTAGACTATTTTTATGAAAGCATTTGGTGTGCATTTCCGGAAGTGCAAATCTTGTTGGTGTAATTGACTGTCAACTGATGAGTTTGCTGGAAGATCGGGGCGAATGTCAACAATAATCTAAGCATTAATGGGACTTGAGACATCTTTGAATAAGGCAAAATACCTTTAAATTGGGTTTAAAGATGATTTAATTATCTTTTTATTGCTGAATTAAATGTTTACAACACAAATAGGTTCATTTACAAAAAGAAATATTGTTTGGAAATGTCCGGCTGACTGTCTAAGATGTAGTGACAGATGTTTTCTTTTCCAACTTAAAGCTGGGGTGCCTTACTCTCAAACCGCAGACAATGGAATAATATACAATCCATGTAAGTTTCTCGCTCTCAGGTCAGTTTGGTTCTATCAATATTTTCCATGTGCATGCCTATTAAGACAGAAGAATCAAAGAGAGGGCCCAAAATGTCAAAGGGGATTTCTTTTTACAAGTAGCAAAGAATGGTAAATGACTGTCTTATAGGATGACGGCAGCTTGTGGTGGTCTGATTTATTCACAAAGTTTATAAGACTTCTGCTAAAGGAAAAGTTGTGTACCCAAGCTTTAACCTCTATAACATTCAAGTTAGGCTGTATCTAAATTGAATGTAATGTTGGTTTGTGAGTACTTCCCTGTTCTTATTATTATGCATTTTTATTGTCTCCCCACAGATATAGCTCACCTGTGCATCAATGTAGTCACTTATTGCTTTATTTTACAGCTTTACTGCCTCATTACTGCTATGCTTCCTGCTCCGTGTGTATCGTTTAGGTCAGAGCACACCAGACACCAACCTGAAGTGGGGAGAGGGGGGTGAGACTGTGAATGTCTGAGTGCTTAAATGAACGAATGCTATGACTAAGTGCTGTGGAATTTGATCATAAAACGACAAAAAAACACCACACTATCCCTCGAGTTGGGCCTGTTCTCTGCATTCACTGAAGGCAATAGTTTTTTGGAAATAGTTTAGTTTAGATTTCAACCTTTTACAGGTTTCCTCGACCATTTGGTGGATCACTTTTTGAGTCACATCTACTTGGAGCATGATGGGAACTCAAATCTACCTCATGGGGCATCTCTATCACTTGGTTTTAAGCAGATTTACCACCAAACTTCATCTCAGCCATTTAATAAAGGCCTATGATTAAAAGAACTAGAGGTTAAAAAACATAAATTAGTGCTCCTACATCTTAGAAAATAAAGAAAAATGACACTGATTCTTCAAGGAGTGAACATTAAAGGGTTAAATTGCATCTTGTGTTTTTTTTTTTAATCTTTTGCAGATACACCAAAACAAACAACATGGCTCCTCCTATGTTGACAGCAAAGGCAGCTGTTGCTCCTTACCCGAGGGAAAATCCACATAGTACCTCAGGAGATATGGAGTGTCCCATCTGCTACCAGGACTACAACCTGCATAACAAGTGCCCTCGCATGCTGGAGTGTCTGCATGTCTTTTGCACGGATTGTTTGCACAGAATCCAGCTGTGTCCCATGGTGCCCGGGGACCCTCTGAGCCCAGATGCCATCCCATGCCCGCTCTGTCGCCACCTCACCCCCCTGGAACGAGGAGATGCCCAGTCCCTGCCTTGTAACTCCCACATTCTTGCCCGCCTTAACCCCATGCCCTTCCCACTGCCCATCACACTGGCCCAGAGAGTGGTGCTGTCATTGGAGGGTGAACAGCCTGATGCCCGTTACATAATCCTGCCCACGCTGAGCCTAAGGGTACAGCAGAGGCACCCAGACAGGCCGCACGGGACAGCCCCTGGTCTCATGGGGGAGGAGGAGGTCATACAACAGAGCAGGAGGACTCTGTTCTGGGTGAAGCTGCTGGCTGGGGTCTTTTGGGTCGTTTTTGTGGTCATCTGTGTGATTGGAGTGGTATTTGGGCCACATTTCTTTAACAGAAAATGTTAGGTTTATCACAGCAGGCAGAATATATACAGGGCTATGCAAAGAGAGGGAGAACAGCTCCCTCTAGCGGATAAAAGCTAAACAGACTATCGGTTTTATATTTTCTGTTCTTTATTCATAATGTTTACAGAATAGCTCATGTAGTCTAGTTGTATGATTGTTTAATCCAAATCGAAATGAATTCATTCTAACTTTTTTGAATTAATTCTAACTTTTGCTGATGTTCATCTACAAATATTGATAATGTCATGTTGGATTTGATAATAAATTCAATTAAATATAACACTATTATTGGACCTATTTGACTTGATCAATTAAATCCAACATGACATGAGCAGAAAAGGTTGCTCAACTTTATCAATAGAACATTGATAAAGTTTAACATTTTATTTCCAGTGTATTCAAATGGATTAGTTTGGCCACTATGCCTGTCCATGCACTTACTGTATACACAACATAGGCCTTATTTGTTCGGGAGGCTAATATGTTTAATAAATGGATTAAACAGATATACAATAAATTATGGTTGTCAAACTAATTTTGGTTGAGAGACGGATTTAAAAAACAAACGTTCCCCGGGGACTGCAAATGTTTGAAGCTCATCTATGCATCTGTGCTTTGATAAAAATAATATTTTAGTTTTACCTGAGTTTGGATTATTTTCTTATATATTGTATATTTTGTATATTGCATATATATGTTTGGAGTGAATGGAAACTGGGGTAAAGTTAAAGGATTGACCAGTGAGTATTTTTTTTAGATTAACAATTTATACTCACGTGTTAGGTTAACATCTTAGAATAAAATAAAGCATATGGTTGTTCACTTATGAAAATAAGCTATATAATCAGATATAACACGCCATGGTAATATATATTACACGACCATCAATGTTGCAAGTTGATAGTAAGAATTGAAAATCATCTCAGCCACTAAAAATAATAATATTTTTGACACGATGCAATAAAGCATGAACTAATTATTATAATACTTCATTTTAGGAAGTGAGACTACTCATCTGCGTCATCCGCCCCATCAATCACACACACACACTCTCACACATGCACACGCACACGCACAAGCGCACACGCACACACACATGCACACACACACACACACACGCACACACGCACACACACACACACACGCACACACGCACACACACACACTTTACCTACTGACAGGATCAGGCTTTCACATGCAAGTATCGCCACATTGTTGGGATATCACCAAAATCACAGGAATTCTAATTCCAAATTCCCCTATAATTTAGTTGTATATGTTGGCTTGTTCACCAACAACATCTGCATTCAAAAATATAAAACAAGTAGAGAAAAACTGTATTTAAGAGTGCATGTGAAACAATGGTTTTGCAAAAATAACATTTGGGAGCAGAGCTGATTGGATGCATGGGTGAGGGTGGTCCAATCTTTTTCCCTCTTCTGTCTGAATCTAAGAAAACGTATATGAAAACTACTGAGGGCAGGAAGATGTTTATCAGATCACATTCTTCCATTGTGTGTGGTTTGAAAGTCAGGTACCCCAGCTTTAAAATAATATCATAATCTGCGAGGGGGCTACGTAAAACCCTGGGCTGTTGCGTATGACGTCACACGCCGCGTTGGCTCGCAGAAAGTGGTGAAAAGTTTTCAGACCCCCTCCTCTGCAGACCGTCCTCCTCATGTTTTTGTTGGGGAAAAGTTATCGGGAGTTCGGTCGTGTGAATGTGGCGTGCCCGTCGGTTTTCGCCCCTCGGTAAGGGGTCCATGCGGTCTGTGTAGAGTTTGAGTCCGGTTTGAGACTTTCCACGGGGGCTTTTTATCTGCGCTCCGTACTCTGGGCTCGGACCGAAAATCAGTGGCCACCGTCGGCTTCACCTCTGCGCCTCGTTAGCCACCTAGCCGCTAGCACCAGCCCACTGCATAAACGCTACCTCGCTACTTACTCTTTTCTAGTGGTAAAACGTGTGATAAAACCAACCTTAGAAATGGCTGAAACCAAAATTATTTATCACATCGACGAAGAGGAGACGCCATACTTGGTGAAGATCCCAATTGCTGCCGAAAACATAACTTTGCTGGATTTTAAACAAGTGTTGAACAAGCCAAACTACAAATTCTTCTTCAAGTCTATGGATCAAGACTTTGGGTAAGTGCTATTCACATAACAGACATGCATTGGAATACTAATGCAAGTAGAGAATTCCTTTAAATCCTTTAATAGAGTGTCATATGAAACTAACTAACATGTTATAACAAAGCTGTACCTAATGGAGAGTGTTCAGCTCAGGCAGGACTATTCCCAGTTAAATGAATGCATGATGCTTGTTGTCATGCAGCCCTGTCTTGTGACTGACCTGCGCATATTTTACCCATAGGAAATGACTTATGAGCAGAGAAAACATGAAAACAAGGTTCAGCTGCTGCAGGCCCTCGCCTTAGTTTATCAGTAGTAGTGATGAGCAATAAGCAGATGTTTTTACAAACATTGAGGTATGTTGGCCTCGACGTCATCATTACACTCAGAGTTATTCCCTGTCCCTGGTGCTTTTCTTTGCCCTAATCCTCACCCCTTTCTCCCCCCACCCTCCTTCAGTCCATCATTTTGTGAAATCCAGGCTTTCTTTCTCTTGGGAATGAAGCCAAGGTTTTGTCTCCGCTCTTTAACACTTTGGCCTGGCAGCCATCCTTTCAGTCCCTGTGTGTTCTTCCCCTTTTCCCAGCACCAGCTCTTCCAGAAGGGCTTCTCCTTCTATGCCTAAACTGTGTTTTCTCTTCCAATGCAGAAAGCAACATGTCTGTGGTTCAGCTAAATGTTCAGTTTTGAAGCTGGTCGTTTGTCGGTTTGGTTATTACTAGAAAATAATCCTCCTTTCACGTTTCCTCATACAATGAGATTTTCCATTAGTAGGTTGAATAGTCTATGCTTAAACTGTTTGCCAGTGGGTGTGTGACGTGACAAGGACCTCTTCAATTATGCGTCTGGTCTCGTCTTTTTCCTATAAGTAGCAGATAATGCAGTTGTTGTGTCTGCAGAAGCTTTTGTTTACCTCAATGACACCTCCATTTACATGAGTGGTGGAGCTCTGCATGGCACTCGACACCTGGGGTTTCTCTGTGGAGTTAAATCAGCGGTGTCCAACAAGGGAGACTTTAGTTCACCACACTGATCCAGGGGCTGACAACCCAGATTGAAAAACTGGATTCTGAGCTTTAAAATGGGGTTCAACATATCCACGTTGATTCAATCGACAGAGCTGCAGTGAAACTTTCCCACTTAAGCTACAATCGTGGTATTTGTCTAATTGTGTACCACAAGCTGACACAAATGTCTGTATAGTCAACAAATTCAAGAGGTTATAAGCGGTCCTGTAAGTTAGTGGATGACTCTAAACTTATTATCTCAATGGATATTTTGGATTAGCAAAGCAGAGGGCCCACGTAAAATCGTTCAGATTTTCATTGTTGGCCCGCGGACCGTACTTCGTACATGTCTGCACATTTAGCGACTGGCTCCTAACTGGTCGCTAAATGTGCAGAAAAATAGCAATTATAGATGAGGCTTTATAAATGTACCCTACATAGTGCAGAAACTAAACTGCACACAAAATATTTTATTTTGACTATGAATAATACTTTTGTCTGAAACATATTTGTTATTGTTACCATAGCATTTAAGGATGTTTTTTGATTAAAAAGTGAATAGATTACTCAATGACTATAATAATAGATAGCGTTATCCCTATTTTCAAGATATTGATAAACAGCACACAGAATTTTGCCAATGTCGTTCCCCAATTATCATATTTTCTTTTAGCCTGGCATCACACTCGCCTCCAAGCTCTGATGAAAAATTTCAAACATAGCTCTGGGTCAGCTGTCCAATCACACTGAGGGGGAGCGTTTCTTTCCCTTTCGACCCAGGAGAGCGCTGCGTATACTGTGTGTTTTCATTTGCTCTGGTACGCGGCCAGCTGTCGGCCCGGCCTGTGTGTGGTGCAGAAAGGGGGAGACCCAAACCAGCTCCGCTAGCTTCAGCCGGGACCTGGGCCATTTGCTGCTGTCTGGGAGAGAGGAAGTGAAGACTCAGTGGATAGTTATGGCTCTTTGTTTTGGTCAAAATCAAAGTGTCTCGAAGATTCCCTGTTAGAAAGAGCCCTTGGGGGGTGTGAAATGGCTGCTGCTGTTTATTTGTTGAACCGGGCCTTCTGCATTGGTTTTTTTCCATCACTGAAAACGATTGTTGTTGTTCTCTCTAAACGGGTTACTAAATTAGACCAAGCAAGTGTTTTTGGTAACAGTAGCTCTATTAAGTCCCAACCACAACACTCCAGTCGCATGTAACACTCAGCCACAAAACAGCTGCTTTGGAGAAGCCAGGCCTTCGACAGGAAAAGGAGAGAGAAGGAGACGATGTTGGAAGGCGAAGATCCAAGTGTTTAAAGTGTTCTCTCTGTTGCACTTAAGCTGTGGTCTGTCCAAAGGGCTGTGAGGACGGTATGAATGGCTGAGGTAGGGACAAATCCTATGGAGTAGGACTTGCATGGCCACTTTTAATTCACGTTGTATCAATTCCATACGACAATAACACATTTTTATAGTATTTTATGGCAATAATGACTAATTTTCAAAATGGAGTCCAAGGTTCAATAATGAGGGCCCTTACAAAATAATGCATAATATTTCTTCAAGAGGTTGACCGATAAGAGGTTTCAGTGACCAATGCTTAACTGGCTGATGGCCGGTTTAAAGGCCAATGTTTTGAAATGAGGGCAAGAGTGAGCTCTGCTGTGAGTGGGGTATGCGGGTCAGGGGCTCATCAGGATCCAAAAATGCAAAAAGCTTAATAATAAAGGATAAAAAATGTCAGAGGCACAACTGACTTTAAAGTAAAAATCCTTTATTACTCGGGACACCGATGCGTTTCGATCACTTAGGTCTTCATCTAATAAAGACCTAAGTGGTCGAAACGCGTGGTTATTAATGTGTATCTAATGTTTTTACACTACAGAGGTAATTTTAACCAAAAAAAGGCTTGTACACTGATTTAACAGATTTTGTTTTGTAAATTCTTTCTAATTTTAGTTTAATTGTCAGGAGTAAAATAAACTCTGTGATTGTTTCAAAAACTTTAAAGTTAGACATAACTTGTCTTGGTACCATATTGGCCTGATCGAGAAAGTCCAATGGCGGGCATTTCAAAAACGTAGAATCTACTGGTTCAGCTAATAAGAATAAATGACACTGGTTAACGAGATGTCTGGAGCACAGTTCATTTGTATTTATCTTTGGACACATTTTGTACTGTGGCCCTTGAAGCTTTCACCTCTGAAACTTTAACGCTTGTAATGGATCTCATTCTTACGAATAAACCTGCCATAACACATTAATTTAATCTGTGTGAACAACGCCTTACTTTTGATGCTGTGTTTTCATAATGATCCTCCATATTTCATGCCGTGTGAGTGAAATGTAAACCTTTTAGTTCCAGTTGAAGCGGACGTGCTTTGAGCTGCCCCACACACAGAGCTTAATGTTCTCTGGACTCTGTGAACCGCTTGTATCTCACCCTGCGTTTGTGTTTCAGAGTGGTCAAAGAAGAAATCTCAGATGATGCGGCCAAGTTGCCCTGTTTCAACGGAAGGGTGGTGTCATGGGTGAGTATTTGAGAAAACAAGTCATGTAGTTGTAAATCAGTTAAGTATTTTAAGCTAAATGACACTCAAGAGTGTCAAAGTGAGAAAACAATTATCACTTGATAATACTAGAATTAAAATTAAGTTCTTTAGAAAATGCATTCACCATCATAGTGAGCGATTTTGAAACTTTTCATTTCTTTTATGGTTTAGTAATCTTATCTTTATAAGATCATAAACATAAAGTAACACTTTCAAATACATTTTATTACACACAAAAGTTGTGAGTCGCTTTGGGGTGAGCCTTGACAAGTGAATTTGGATGAGATGCGGCACTGAGTCGGTCTTCCCTTTTCTGGCCTGTGAACTATTGTCACCTCACCACAAAGTGCTGTACTGCCGGGTCATGCTAATGCTGAGCAGTTCTATTTTGCCAAATTGGTTCCATGTGAATCCTAGAGGTTTTGGCTCAAACAATGTATTGTTTGTACCATGATAAATCATGATTCCTTATTTCCTATTCACATAAACTGCACACTGAAAGAAACTAAACAGCCTATGAAAAACCACCTGATGATCTGCTGTGTGTGCTGTTTGGGCTGATGTCACGTGGTCAAAAGTATCAAATCATTTTCCTGTCGTCTTGAGGACATGAACACCGCTGTGGCCGCGTACGTGTCAGAAAATTGTTTAGTCACAAAAAAAAGTTCTTCATCCTCTGAGGCGAGAGGCCATATGCCTCAGGAGAGGACTAACCGAGAGCTGATGTGACCCATAATGTTTGCCTTATTAGCGTAGAAGCTGATCTGATCTATTTGGGGATAGCAGACTACCTGATTGGTCAGTTGGTAATCCGGATTCAAAAATGCAACATCAAAAACAAAAATACTGGGGTAATACAGAGAGCTAAACCACAGATTTGTAAGTCCAACATGCTGAGTGTGGCACAAACTGTTACAGAGTAAGCAGCATTAACTCTTCAATGTGAGGGAATCGAGCCAAAGTGAGTTGGAGCACTTCTTTAGTGTTGCAACTATCCATCCATCCATTTTCTTCCCCTTAATCCATTTCTGGGTCGGGAGGGTGGCAGTTAGAGCTGCACCCAGTACACATAGCACCAGCCCCTCACTGATCCTCCTGCAGGTGGTGAGTCCACTGGAGCCTTGATCTTTCAGTGGGGGCCTCAGGCAAAGTGGGGTTTTGTGTCCTGCCCAAGGACACAAAGGGGTCATCAGTGGGAGTCATGAAGTAGGTCTTATGGTGGGCTCGAACCCACAACCTTCAGGCCCAAAGGCCAATGCTCTACCAACTGAGCCACCGTCGCCCCCATTGTAACTAATGATTATTTTGATAATCAATCAAGTCTTATAGTGTATCACAGTATGACTCAGATAAAGTGGAGTAAACCCACCAGCCTTTTTTCCAGAACAAACCATTTTATGCTATTACTGCCATGTTTGTGTATTAAAATAACAACTCTCCCAGACAAATGTTTGTATGAAACCAGTTGCTTCCCTACCTTTGCAACTTCGTAGGCCTCAAGCATTGCTCGTGGAGCAAAGGGGCCGGCGAATCAGCGCTCAGTGATTGTGTTTGATGCACAGCTTGAACCAAATGAAGCATTTGCGGGTCATCCAAATATTAATCTTAGTTTCACTAGTTTTGTTTGTGATTTGTAATTGTCCCTATAAAACAGTGCGAGAGCTGGTGCAGATGGAGGAGCGGTCGGTGAGTGGTGAGGATGTGTGCACACAGCGTCTGTAGAAAGTGAGGGGATACTGCAGTTTATTTTCTATGTTTAACGGCCAAATAAAGACACTAACTCTTGAGCAACAAACTGGAGTGTGTTAACAGTAAAGAACATAACAGAATTGCATTGACAAAAAAAGGGGAGGAATCAGTTTGCGGCCCTCGGTTAAATTCTGTGAGGCTAAACTTTAAAATGGTGTATTCATGGGAAACGATGTGTAATAAAAGTTCCAGTGACTACATTGCTGTAAATTATAATTTTAGCTTCCCAAAATGAGAACATTCTAAAGAAAATATCCATTGTTTTACGCGTGGTAACACATGTAACAAACTGAATCCTCACTCCTGCATTTCAAAGTTGTCAAAGAGCAGCATGTGCTTACAATGGCTTTTCTGAAAACCGGCTGTGGGATTTCAGTCATATAGGCACTGTACAAGTTGTTACTGATGTTATTTATATTTGACCCTGGTTACATCATCTTGTATATCACAGTATTGTAGTAATATGGAGGTGTGGCTTGTGCTGCTAAATGGTTTTGCCAAACAAAGGAGCAGGGAAGTTTCTCACTGTAGATAGAGTTGCTCTCTGTTAATGGATACTGCAGCTGTAAACCACACAGCCCTCACAGTTACAGTAAGCTTTGAGGTACAGTTCACCTACTTCCAATCTCTCCCAAAGGCCCCGCGCACACCCCACCCCACAGGCCCTGTTTTAAAATGGACACAAAAACAACTCGACTTGGCCAACAGCGGCAAGTTGGAAGAAGACATCTGTTTAGTGCATAAGACTGCGAAATGGCATTTTAAAAAAACGGAGAAGTTGGAACAAAGCGAGCGCACCGAGGAGACTGATATGTGATCTGCATGCCAAGGCTCGGTCCCAGAAGACGCTGTTTGGTCGTGGCGTAGAAGAGGGGGAGAGGACAGTGCTGAGTCGGACCACTGTGGAGGCAATTACTTCAACAGTCCATAATGAATGTAATGAATGCTGCAGATTTGTCCTCTGATAGAATCACGTGTGAACTACATTTTGGCGTCGTCATAAAGAGAAAAGCAGCCTCTCTGTGTGCTCCTTATGTTTGGAGTAACTTAATCCTGAATAGTTTTGAGCTTAATTGTCCTTGCATGGTATTGTGCAAGTGTAGTTTGCGGGTACTTTTGTCATTTAATGAGCAGAGACAGGTTAAGTGCGGGATAGCGTTTCAGTTTGCCCGTGAGACGTCCTTCTGAAGAGCTTTGAGTGTCATATGGATTGACATCTTAACTGTATCCCTGCCTCTTTCGGCACACTTTGGTTACAACTGAATTATATTTGTTGTACAGTACTCTTGAATGTGAATATAGTCATATCTGTTTTTTCTTCTTTCTTATTTTAGTTGGTATCATCTGATGGCCCGGCCGGAGATGCACCGGTGCCGCCAATCGCTCCTGTGGAAACGCCGCCTCAGCCTTCGCCCCCACCCCCTCCGCTGCCTCCACCCCCAGTCGAAAGAACAGGGGGGATCGGAGACTCCAGGCCCCCCTCCTTCCAGTAAGAAATGCTTAAGATCAATGCCGGATCTTAGCCAAGGATGTAACCAATGATATAATGTTGGGGGGAAAACATGTAGGCTGAAGTTAATTGAAAAGTCTGACCCTCTTCACCCTTTACACCGGTCTCAGTAAACATGATCGCATCCCATTCCAATTTTTTATCCGCCAACACAACTTTGTGAGTTGTTGCTAACAGGCTGACAGGCACACAAACAAACCCTGGTGAAAACATACCCCTCGGTGGAGCCAAGTCTGTCAAAGAACAGTGGGTGTGTACCGCTCGGGGTGGTTTTATTTAGGATGTTTTTGTTTAGGATACAAATGTTGATTGGCAACGTGATGCAAAGGAGAAGATGTGGAATGAATTGGCCAAAGATTTTTTTATCATAGAAGTGCATAATAGTTTTGAGGACAGTTTTAGGTGAAAGCCCACAGCAAACTTTCATGTATTTAAGTCCATTTAGATGTGAAACTGCTCCTTATTTTTCAGGATGAGTTAGGTTTTATTCAGGGAGCACTGCACAATGTTAATTGTGATGTTTAGTAATATGATCCCCAGGGAAACTAACATTGATCCTTTTAAGGGCTAAACTTTTTTCAGTCACAAAGAAATGGGTCACCTGCAGTACACGCACAGCTTACGGAACCAAACTTGCAAATTATCCTTCAGTAGCACATTCACACCATTTTTCCATGCATTTTAAAATAAGCCTGGATTCCTCTAAGCCAACTAATCTGTTTAGTGTGCAGCCACAGTAAGATATTTGTCAGTGCAGCAGTTTGTTCTTTTTAAGGCAGATTCCTTGGTTGCAGAAATGAGGCATGAGATGTCGCTGTCAGTGTCTGTCATATGGTAACGTTGATAAGGTTTATAATACTTTGTTTTGTTCATATTTTAGTCCAAATGCAACTGGCAGCGTGGAGACATTGGACGACCAGACTGAAACAGAGTCTGTGGTTTCATTTAGGAGAGAGCGGCCACGACACAGAGAGGGGATGGATCAGCACGGTCAGTACATCGTGATAAGAATACTTCTACATGATTTAACTTGTTTTCCAGTTCAGAATCTCTTTATATTTTGAAAAGAAAATAACCCAAGACATGGGTTAGAATGTAAACACTGGCTGCATCCAAGTTCGGCAAAAGTACCTCCTTCCTTGTCCTTTCTTGTCCCTGTATCATTAATGTTACTCCAATTTTGAGTTGTTTATACCATTTAAAAAAAATTATATTTTACCTTTCAGAAATGTTTTTCATATTTTTCAATTTGCTTACATGTTTGTTCAAGTCAGTGGCCACATTCAATGTATTTTCTTTGCTTGCTCTGATAGGGCCCCGGATGAATGGACAAACTCGAATGGAGCGCCACCTAGCGGGATATGAGAGCTCGAGCACTATGATGAGCAGCGAGCTGGAAACTACAAGCTTTTGTGACTCTGATGATGATGATACCATGAGTAGGTAAGGCAGACGAACAATGAACACTAAGCAATGACAAAATAATGATAAGAATGAGACGCAACTAAAATATACACATTTTAAAGGTTTAGCAGTGCAACAGAGCAAAGTACAGCTTCTAGGCTTCTTAAGAGACATCGCAGACGCAGGAAACAGCGTCCTCCACGTTTAGAAAGGGTTGGTAAACATTAAAATGCATATAATAAACAATTATATTATTGTTACTAATTAAATCAATTGTTTTTTGTTTTTCCAGGCCTCCTCTTTCAGTAGTGTGACAGACTCCACTATGTCTCTGAACATAATCACAGTCACACTTAATATGGGTATGTGTGCCTCTCCTCTTAAACACTATGACAATGTAGCTGCATGAATTCATTCAAAATACTCTTACCAAATACAGAAAAGTACAACTTTCTTGGAATCAGCATTGTTGGTCAGAGCAATGAAAGGGGAGATGGCGGCATCTACATCGGCTCCATCATGAAGGGAGGAGCTGTGGCTGCAGACGGACGCATCGAGCCTGGAGACATGTTACTACAAGTAAGTATGATCTGCCACTGTTCTCCAGTCTGCAGTGATTATTATCTTTATATAATAACTCACTGCTCTGCGCTCAGGTCAATGATATCAACTTTGAAAACATGAGTAATGATGACGCTGTCCGAGTCCTGAGAGAGATTGTGCATAAACCAGGGTGAGCTTCTGCACAATGCTTAATATTGATTTCTGTGTCTACTCTTTATAGTTGACATTTTCTCTGATTCCTTAGACCCATTATTCTCACAGTAGCCAAGTGCTGGGATCCTTCTCCTCAGGGTTACTTCACATTGCCACGCAGTAAGTGAAGAGAAGATGAATCTCCTTTGTTGTGGACAATGCCATGCTTTATAACAGAATATTCTGCTCACATGTGCAGATGAACCGATCCGGCCCATCGATCCTGCGGCGTGGGTCAGTCACTCTGTGGCCATGACGGGAGCTTACCCTCCGTACCCAGGCAGCTCTTCTCTCAGCACCATCACCTCTTCCTCCTCCGTCACAGAGACAGAACGTAAGATAAAGAGAAACTACAAACAAATACGTTTATGAACAATGCGCAGAATTTTTGAAGTTACAAGTTTTTTTCAGACATTTTATGTGAAACCAACAAAAGGTAAAGCCCACAAATGTATAAGAGGACTACAGAAATCAATAGCAAATTTTAAAAAAGAAACGTATGTTAAGCATATTATAAGGAAAGGCAGCTAAGTCGCTCAATAGAAAGTGTCCACAATTCAGCAGCTCATGTAGAAGTTCTGCTACTTTGGCAACTGGTTAAAAGGACACTGTGAAAGATTTTTGTATGTGTCCACACACGAGCTGGTTTATCCTTATCCTACAAAAGCAATAGTTTCACACAAGTCTCGCATTTGGGTTTCCCGTTTATTTGGTGAAATCAAGCTGGTTCGATCACGGCCTAAACCCCAGCAGGTGAATCAGTAATCAGAGCTGCAGAAACGTGTGAGTGTGATGCAGGGACACTGGTAACATTGTAAATAAATGGCTTTATCAATCGTGTAAGAGCGCAAACTACATACACTTCCTTTAAAAATGGAAATGTTAATTTGCATAGTTATAAAATAAATTAGTGATTGTTGGAAAGTTTTGCATTTGAACTAAAAATGTGAATCTGTATCCCTTTTTAGGTTTTGATGACTTCAACTTGTCGCTCCATTCAGACATGGCGTCAGTTGCCAAAGCAATGGCTTCTCCAGAGTCTGGTTTGGAGGTCAGAGATCGAATGTGGCTGAAAATAACAATCCCCAACGCTTTTCTTGGTAGGAAATTCCTCAAAACATGGCAAAGTTAACCATGTGATCCTTCTTGGGCTTAGTTCAGACCTTTATTTGCCTAAATTAAAACCGTGTGACTTGTAGCAGTGTAAAAAAAATGCCACATGCTCACAAAATATTCTCTTTAACTAAAAACATCTGTTTAATTGGAGTCACCTGTGTCTAAATCAAGAAGAGTTATTAACCAACAATGACACTCTTAAACAGCATGTATTGAAAAGTTTGTTCTTTTATTTAGGGTCGGATGTAGTGGAATGGCTTTTCCACCACATTGAAGGCTTCACAGATCGCCGTGAAGCCAGAAAGTATGCAAGCAACCTCCTGAAGGCAGGCTTCATTCGACACACTGTCAACAAGATTACTTTCTCTGAACAATGTTACTACGTCTTTGGAGACTTGAGTGATTGTGAAAACTGTGAGTATTGGCCTCAAGTGCCCCTGATAAAAAGCAACACGTTTCAGGCATCACTCATATCGACTCTTTGTTGTTTACTTTCTGCAGATATGGCAAACCTGTCACTAAATGACAATGATGGCTCCAGTGGAGCCTCAGATCAGGACACCCTTGCTCCCCTGCCCCTCCCTGGGGCCTCCCCCTGGCCCATGATGCACACATTCCCCTATCAACCGTATCCGACACACCCATACTCCAGCCAGCCGCCGCCCTACCACGAGCTCACTAGTTACAGCTATGCCCCTGGCAGCACAGGCAGCCAGCACAGCGAAGGTAAGGACTCTGACACTAACAAGGATCAAGTCTGCCCACACTTTGCACACATTCAGCTGCTACTTTTATCAATTAAAATTAAAATGTGTGTTCTCTGATAAGCATTGGGTTAAATTAAAGTGGTGCTTTTACATTCTAAATCAGATTTGAAAGTACACTTAGACCACTTATTATCATTATGACAGCATTAGTATTGTAGACGAACGCATAGTAACTCACAGTAGTGTGACTATTAGATGCTAAAGCCTGTAATAATTTCATAGATTTGTATTACAATTTCCCCTAAGCCTAACCCTGTATCTGGTAATATCTTATACATTACATTATAGTAACTTACCCAACACTGTATACAGGGGCGACAGTAGCTCAGTTGGTAGCGCATTGGCCTTTGAGCCAGAAGGTCGCAGGTTTGAGCCAACCTCAAGACTTCCACCATCAACTCCTGCTGTCATTGTATCCTTGGCAAGACACTTAACCTCTGGGAACACCAGCCACAGTGGGGCGGCTGCTGTTGTGTCTTTAGGCAAGACACTTCATGGTTGGTGGTGGCACATACTGGTTGCCTCGCTTCTGTCAGTGTGCCCCAGGGCAGCTGTGGCTACAGTAGAAGTTTATCACCACCATGTTTGGAGTGAAAGAATAATGACGTGTAAATCGTCTTTGAGTGTCCAAAAAAGCGCTATATAAAACCAATGCATTATTATTATTATTATTATTCATTACAGGTAGCCGAAGCAGTGGTTCAACCAGAAGTGAGGGAGAGCGGCGGCGCAGCAGTAAAGGCCCTGGCAGCACGGTTGGTGGAGGGGAGAAGTCGCCCTCTGGTGGGCTTCCGGACGGCTGCGGAGACTCTCGTTCAGGCAGTGGCAGTGAATCTGAATACTCCACCAGGAGCAGCATAAGACGAGGTCATGGATCAGCTGCTCCCAGCGAGCACAGTCACACCTCACAACGCTCCTCACACCACCACCGTATGCCCCAGGCCCCTCACATGTCTCCATACCCACCAGGGATCTTACCCTACAACCCCATGATGGTAATGATGGTACCCCAGCACCCCCATCCCGCTATGGCAACCGCACATGCTCTTCCACATGCTCAACAAATGGCCACAGCCTCCATGCATCCGGCCTTAACCCCTCTGCCATCCAACACTCCAGGAGGACCTCCTGGAGCACCTCCCACTCGTGACCTAGGCTCTGTGCCTCCAGAACTGACTGCATCTCGCCAGTCTTTCCATTTGGCCATGGGCAACCCCAGCGAGTTCTTTGTGGATGTCATGTAGTGTTTTTGTATTCAGTAAAAAGGCTTTTCATGTGAAGTGCACGGTTCCCACATACGTCTGGTTGTAAGAAAGCTCTTTTAAAAATTGGGCATTTGTTTAAAAAAAGAAGAAGAGATTTTTGGTAAAACAGGGTTAAAATAGGAAAAGTTCATTGCAGTTCATATAGAATGAGCTTGGCATATTTGATAAAATATTTACTTACAAGTGCATTTCAGCGAGATCCCATGTACTGCCGTTACCTTCAAGTGCATGGTTTAAGCTGCTCTGCTCACTTTTCCTTCTGCCCTTGAAGCCTCTCCTCAGAACAGTCCAAAAGCGGAGTGCACAGATGAACACTACAGGGAGGTCGGTGCATACTTGAAAGGATAAAATCCTACAACGTACACCAGAGAAAACAGAAAATGTGCCTTACTTTAATCATTTCAGATTTTTTACACTCCTAGCTGGTACATGAGCATTTTGTTTGATAATGAACTTTATGTATATATCAATTTCTATATAAATAAAACTCTAATGTGAAAAAGAAAATAGATCCAAAGGTCAGTTTACTTTAGTTTTAATGGACAAAAAACTTCTGGGAAGAACCTCATAATGGTCTGCGAAGGCTTAACATACATGTAGGCAACACTAAAGTGGTACTTCTCTGAAACATAGCCTACATGTAGTTACTGATCCAAATAACATTTTACTTTTATTCACCCAGTACATTTGTACATGTTTATAAGCAATCTATAACAGAAAATTGAAGGTGCTAAATTAAGAGTTATCATTTAAAAAAAGAATGACTTTTTCTTTCACATTATGTGTGATGTCATATGGACACCTTTTGCTTGAGTAGTTGACAATAAACTGTAAACTTTGTTACAACACAATTATTGTCGTGTTCTTCCAATGAAAAGCATGTGGGGCATTACTCTGATGCTGTCTGCTAATTGCTTATTGAAAGGGTTAACTGACATTAACTTAAAAGAGGATGTTTTTGCTTAAAAACCTGAATACTTGCATTGTAGTAATGAGTATTTAATACCATACAAAACAGCCACTGTGATAAGAAAAATCATGAAATAGGGGATGGATGTTTTTTTTTTTACCCTGATTTAGACCCTAGTTTAGAGTATTTTTCTTTTTTCTTCTACTTCTACTGGTGCCAGCAAGGCCTGGCTAGAACCAGGAGCATATGGTACTAAAAAGTGCCTGATATCGGATGAACAAGGCCGGTGGAAACGCTCCAAGTCAGGGTAGAGTAAAATAGAGTAGGACCAAGTGAGGCTGTGGGGCCATGGAAGTATATCATGAGCTGTAAAGGGCCCATGCCTGTAACTGCTACAATTCTCAAAAGTTGCGCACATACGGATTGGTTGACAAGTTGTCATAAAAACATGTTCTACTTTTACATTGTGCAGTAATGATGCAGTTTGAAATCTGATATATAGTCAAATTGTACATCATTCTCAATTAAATCAAAAGGTTATGAAACCCCGTGTGACAGAGTACTACATATCCCATGAAGCACTGCGGTAGAAGGCATCCGGAACACAAACCAGGGTCCAGCTCCAAAAGAGGATAATTCAGGGTTAGTCGGTCACAGACACTTCAGACACCGCAGACAGACCGCAGGACTGCACAGGTGAGTGTTTTACTGTCAGTCTTTTACAAACAGACTGACCACATCTTTGTGGCTAAACTGAGAATAAACGCTCAAAACACAGACGTTAACAGCTAGCTAGCTAACGTGAACATGAAGACGTGTTATCTTTCTTGTTAAACCCATATTTGAGCCTCAACTGTGCTCCTAACTCAATGCTAACTTGTTTGACCGAGCTTTGATAGTTTTTTTATGAAGTATTGTCATTTTTTTAAGGACACAAAAATCATGCTGCTCCGAAATGTAAGCAGGTCCTCTGCGCTGTGTAGCGCGGCCCTCAAAGGGCCCTCCGTGTTGTTGGGGTATGTCATATGAAGATTAATCTCTGAAGCTTTCACCAATGACACAGTATGTTTCTGTAAAACATGACAATGGTTTGTCTCCGCAGAGGCCAGCTTCAGGTCGGTGCTGTGCGGGGTTCACAACATGCTCGACTCTACGCCAGTCAGTCAGCCCAGGTAAATGTGCTGTCAGTGATACATGAGGTAAACACGGTAAAAGGCAAAAGATAAAAGATCAATGCTTGTGTCGCATGTTTCCTTCTTGGGTCGCCAGAGGTTCAGAACTGTTGTTGTTTTGTACAGTATATGTAAGTGCCCTGGCTGACATAAGCCCTCTTGCGGGAAGTGGGGGAAAGTTCACGCGTCACATGTTCAGTTCTATAAAGGTGACTCTGAGGCCCCGTCCCAATACTCGCACTTCCACCCTCGCGCCCCTCATTTGCGCGTTCCCGATAAAGTGTGCGAGTGCGTAGGGTGTCCCAATTCTCCAGGGAGGTCTTTGGCCCCGCCCCCTTTGCACCCCTGATCCACACTTCGCCGTAGCCTGCATCTATGCACACTCTGGCGAAGGATATTGCCCATAATTCTTTGCGGTACACATCAAAACGTCGGGAAAAAGCATTTAAATATACATTTTGAAATATATATGCTGTATGTGTGTAAATAAGTTTTGCTATGTTACTTGGAAAGAAGCATAAACGTCTGATGAAGAATTACGGACATTGTGTTTTAACAATTTAATAACTTTTTAAAGCAAGCGTTTATATAACATTCAATTTAAACTTTACACTTAGTACAATAATCTTAGAATGTATAAAAACTGACCAGATAACAGTTAGTTACCCACATTTAACTTAAAATTATACAGCTATCTCTAATTAGAAACCACTAATATACATGTATTTTAACGTGTGTGAAGCAATTAATTTTGTTTCCCAAAGGGTCAGACAAAATTACCTTTAATGTTTATAAAGTTTAGGTCTGAAAATGACCATCTCTGACGAGTCGATGACGTCACCTGCACTCAGTGTGCACTGTCCCAATTCTGCCTTTTTTGCACACTTGTAACCTGCGCACTCCAACCCTGGTGTGCACTTCGAACAAATGCACACTTCATAGGAGGGCGTAGGGTGCAGTGTGGGTATTGGGACTGGGCCTGAGTCTGAGGGCGGTGTGTCTTATATATATATATATATATATATAAAATATTTTTTTTTTTTTTTTTTTTTTCAAAAAAAAAAAAAAGTAATGACAAAAGTAGATGGACAAACCAGAGTATCCAACAGACAAGACACAGAGGGTGGTGTGTCAAATAGGCCTGTCGCGATAGTCAATAAATCAATTAATCGCACGATAAATAAAATTTGCTCAATAACTTTTCTGGCCGCGATAAATCCCATTTGCAGCTTGTTTGTTTCCCCCGTCTCTCTCTCCCCCTCTCTCTCGGGTCAGAGAGCCGCAAAGTGGTCACGGGAACGATAGCGGTCTAGCAAGCAGACGGAAATTACTCAAAAATACAAAATACAGCCAAAACAGGACCTAAACCAGGACTTAACCAGGATTGATAATCGGGGACACAGTAGTTGTGAACATATGCCGGCAGCTGAGTTCTCATTCAGGCTTGATTAGTGACTATACTAGCGCAGCTAGCGTTAGCGTGTTTGCCGATGCAGAAGTACCGTACCATACCAATAAAATAAACTTATGGCGCACCTCCGTGAACACATACTGCTGTTATATAAAGTCTCTAGAAGGTCTCTGAACACAGAGATGCTGCAGACTTGCATTCTTGGAGTAGAACTTTACACAAAAAACCCGCTAGCTTAGCTGTTAGCATCAAAGCCCGCCCCGCTACTTCCGGTGGGCGCTACCGCAGCAGGACTTCTGTACGCCCCATTGGTGAACCCACATGTCAGTCACTTGTCATTCGCCTGGTGTGTGGGGAGGTGGGACTACTCCTGAGAGATCCTGTCTTAAACCCATGGATGTATTATATTAACTGGATAGGGTATTACTAGCTTGTAGCTGAATAACTCATGTGCTCAGGGGATTCTCGCGGTACTGCAGACTGAACCAGACTAAATTCACGTGGGCTACCCAGAAATTTTCCCCATAGAACTCAATGCATATTAAAACAGCTCAACCTCAGCTGACAGAGAACCTACAGCTTTAATAAAGATCGGATTTTGTGGGGATTTTAGTGTCCCTTGTCATCCTGAACTTTTTTTCTTCTTAAATCCTTCGGTTTTGTTTAAATCCACACTTTAGTGCCACAAACTCTGCTCGTCTGGCTCTCGCTCTAACTCCCGCTCTGATGAACTGCTCTGATTGGTCAGAGCGCGGCCGAGCCCCTCTGTGCACGTGCGTGAGACCCGGTGTGAGACCCACACACGCGTGTTTGGCGCAACGCATTATGGGAGATCATCCACCGCGCAGAACCGGGAGGACCAGACGATGCCCAAATACAGGCGAGTTTCCCAAGTTTCCCGAGTTTCAGGCAACTTCCGCTAATCTTTCAGCCCCCATGCTGTCACAAAGCGCCACTGAGCACAACCATTCATTTGAATAGGGCGCCATCTTGGATCGCCAGGGCTTGCTTAAACCACACAAAGTCAACATGTTGGTATTTCTTTCTCGTAATCTGCCATAAAGTCTGAGAAATTATTGACATTTGAGGCATCTGTTTCATATTTTCTTTACAAAGGTCCTGGCAGTTTTATTCCTGGTCATTTTTTGTTAAGAGACTGAGTATTTTATTTATTGTTTTTGGTTGTTTGTAAATTTATTGTGTTCTAGCGTTAAATATTCGTTAAAAATAAAAGTTTATTTCTCTTTGAAAAGGTGTACCTGCATGATCATTGTAATCGATGCAAATGATCTCAGAACGACAATATAATCGCTTATCGCAATAATTTCTGAGACAATTAATCGTCCAGCAAAATTTGTTATCGTGACAGGCCTAGTGTCAAATACACTCATAATCAAAGAGTGCAGCTATAATCTAACTATATTCATTCATAACCCAGAATAAATATCATTAGTCTTTTGGATCATGTTTAAATGTTTGTATGAATTTAGAATTTGTCCTAATGATGCGTGTTCGGTTTTGCAAACATTAAAATGACAGTTTACGCTGCATATTTATGAACTCTGCAGAGGTTTTGCTGCTAACTTGGTTCTTTCCGTTTGCACAGGCGGTGCTGGAGAAGCCTGCTGCAGTTGGAGCTGATGTTGTCACCAAAGCAGAAACAAAAGCAGCGCCAGTTGTATGTTTCTTTTGTTGATAACTTAACTATGTGAATGCTCATTACTCAAAGTTCTTCCTTTTGTTAAACATACCCAGACAATTGTGCTCTTCATGTTTCACAGTCCATCCTATGCACATGTGTGATAATAATTTTGGTGATACATCATACAACACTCAATTTGTGAGATTATAGCCATTTCTTGCATAGAGGTGATGTCACCTCAACTCAAACAAGTTGATCCAGAAAGGAGTCTGCTCCTCTGTCAGTGAGCCCTGTGGTTTATCTCCAAAGCAAACTCTTCAGATTTGCCGGTACAATAATTTCAGACATGAGAACGTTTCCAACAATGGAAATCTGTCACATCAAGCCCAATGTCCTCCGTCCTAATTACTCAGTTTTACAGCGAGTTAGTAACTCTGTACTTACAGATTGGGTCTGTGCATAAGCATCTTCCTCGTGAAAAAAGTTGAGCCACGTATTTCCACATATTTCCACCAAAAACACATTTTCTCCAAGTTGACATGATCCTAACACTTTCAGTCACTGACAAAAGCAGAAAAACTGTAAAGCTCCATGTGGTAGATGTGGGACCAAACCACCGACGACAAACAGCATATTTATTGTTTTGACAACAGTATTTAAGAAACATTTTAAATACCAAAAGACGGGTTTCTGCACGGTATATTTGTCATCAATGTTGAAATTGTTATAGATGTGGACCCGGGCATTTCGCTGCCTCTCGACAATGAAAGAGAAAGATTACTCTCTATTGAAAGCTTGAAGGAATCAATGAAAAAGTACTCTGGACATATGTATGAAGGTCAAATATCACTGTAATGATGTTTTAAGGCAGAGAAAAGCCAAACAGCAGTCAAAGAGGCTGTGATTTTTATCCAATTAGGGAATTCACAACATTTTATAAATATGAATTGTTGTGCTTTTGTTTTACTTTGTATTCTTTTGAGCATGAAACCATAATGACTGTTATCACTGCAGCTGTCGAAAAGCAATTGTTTTCTTTTTTGTTCTTGCAGGAATCAAAGTCCTTTGCTGTAAATATTTTCAAAGGACAAATTGCCACTCCTCAAGTGTTCCCTTATCCTTCAGGTATGCAACTGGAAATGGATTAAACAATGTCAATAAGGAGTTCTCTATGAATAATTTCACATTTTGGGCCTTAGCGTTGAATGAAGAGCAGGAGGAATTCCTCCGGGAACTCGTTGGACCCTGTGCCAAATTCTTTGAAGTAATGTTTCTAATTAATTCTAAATGCTCATGTCATCAGGATATTTTCACTGAGTTTCTTAAATCCCAGGAGGTGAATGATCCCGCTAAGAATGATGCCCTGGAGAAGGTTGAGGATCATACCATGCAGGGGCTCAAAGAGATGGGTGCTTTTGGTCTGCAGGTCCCCGCTGACCTGGGCGGCCTGGGGCTCTCAAATACACAGGTATGTCTACAACATTGGCAGGCATTGTAGATCTGTAGTATGTTTTTACCTAATAACTGTTTGCAGTATGCCAGACTGGTGGAAATTGTTGGTAGTCATGACCTTGGTGTTGGAATCACTCTCGGTGCTCATCAGTCTATTGGCTTTAAAGGAATTCTGCTCTTTGGAAACCCTGCTCAGAAGGAGAAGTACCTGCCAAAACTAGCAACAGGTTTGAGACTTGTCAATACATTCTTTATTTTAGAGAGACCCTTGGTTAGGAATAAGATAAATCTAATATTTTCTTACAAGATGAGAACATATTAGTCAAGATCGGGTGATTTTCCCAAAGATATTATTTAAGCAGTTGTGTATTTACTGTAGCATCTGTGTGTGGTGTTCCCAGGGGAGGATTTGGCAGCCTTTTGTCTCACTGAGCCGGCCAGTGGCTCTGATGCTGCTTCTATTAAAACCACTGCAGTGCAGTCTCCCTGTGGCACATACTTTACACTGAATGGAAGCAAGATCTGGATCAGGTGAGGGCTGATACACCTACCACAAGATGGCAGCATTTAGCAACCCATGACCTGTTCCTCATCATCTGCTTTTCCTTGGGCAGCAATGGTGGCCTGGCAGAAATCTTCACAGTATTTGCTAAAACCCCCATGAAGGACCCAAAGACAGGAGAGATGAAGGACAAAATCTCTGCATTCATTGTAGAGCGGAGCTTTGGTGGAGTGACAAGGTAAAAACATTTTATTTGAAGTCTTCCAACTTCTTTACTATTAAAATTTGACTTTGTATCTTAAAGTGGCCCCCCAGAAAAAAAGATGGGCATCAAGGCATCCAACACTGCCGAAGTGTACTTTGACAATGTCTGCGTGCCGGCAGACTGTCTGCTCGGAGAGGTGGGCAGTGGCTTCAAAGTGGCCATGAACATCCTGAACAACGGGCGCTTTGGTATGGCTGCTGCTCTGTCTGGAACCATGAAAGGTGTTATTACGAAAGCGGTACGTGTACAGTAGTCACATGTTCTTACGCTGCACTGTTGAGCTCTTGAGATGTGGTTAGTTTGGAAACTCCCAAAACACCCATAGTGCTGTCTGTTGTGGACCGATAGATTTAGAATCACTTTTATTCTGATGTCTGAGGCAGCAAAAAATAGAATTCAATAATGGCCCAGTGATGCTTATTTATATGTATTATCTTAAATGGTCTGTGCATTCATCTGTATTGTAACACCAGGGTAATCCTACTTAGATGTCATGTTACTCATATTCCTAGCGAATACCCTGAGCCTCCGATCTTACTCTTTTTACTTAATTTACAATAATAACTGAAAAAAACCCTTTTCATACAGATTCTTTTCATTAGTTGCTTTTGTTACAACCCTCTTTTTGAATGTTTTCAGGTGGATCACGCAGTCAACAGAACCCAGTTTGGAAGCAAGATTCACACGTATGGGGCCATCCAGGAGAAATTGGCGCGAATGGCTATGCTTCATTATGTTACGGAGGTATGTCCACACTTTGTACAACACAAGATGATAGATGCATACAAAGTTGCTGATTTCATTTCATATCTAATCACTGCAAAAATTATTTCAGTCTCTGGCCTACATGGTCAGCGGAAACATGGATAGCGGGGCGACTGAGTTCCAGATTGAAGCTGCTATCAGCAAGATATTTGCTTCTGTAAGAGAGAGTGTTTCAGACTTTCAGAATAAAGTTATGGAAGTACAAATATATGATTGAACAGGTGTGCTTTGGTGCCTTAACAGGAAGCGGCATGGATTGTGACCGATGAGTGCATTCAGGTCATGGGCGGGATGGGATACATGAAGGTGAGTGTTGGCCTCAGCATCACTTCAGCTTCCAGAAGTATTCCTATGTATAGTCATGACAGTTCCATGACAGTTACCTTAAAATCATGAGTTATTTAAAACCTATTTGAAACTTTTGTGGTTTGTGTACACTGCAATGTTTAGCAACTTTACGTCCTGCTCCTGCCCCTCAGCACGGTGTAGTCTGCAGCTTTATTTTACAGTGTATGCATTGCTTTTCACAGCTGCAGCAGCTGCTACTCTAACACTTATTGTGCATTGTATTTAGAAAGTAACCTTTCTACAGTTTTTACAATGCATATTAACTCCACCAAAGAAAGCCATAACGACGCTCTCTCACTGTTTAAACTCTACTGTTACTATTTTTGGCTAAAACACTCCATGGTTCAACACCGTATCCACGATTCAAAGTGATTTGTGATTACATTCTAGTATTCATAGTAACAAGATACTTTAAACAGTGCGTGACCGACCATAAGACACAGGAAGTTTACAAAGCAAAACGTAAATGTATCAAAGACAAACATTTGAAATGATCGGTAGATTGTTTACATTAGAACAGAAACATTTATGGATGTAATAGTTTATATATTGACCATTTCAACCTGTTTTTATGTTCTGTGTTTAGGACTCTGGCGTAGAGAGAGTGATGAGAGATTTGAGAATTTTCCGTATTTTTGAGGGAACCAATGACATCCTCAGACTGTTCGTGGCCCTCAATGGCTTCCAGGTAAACGTCCTTAAGTCAACAACAACTGAATCATTCGAGGAAGTTTTGGACTGCCTCTTGCATTATATGAGCCGTGCAAAAAAACATGTTACTTCCTTTTGCAGTAATTTATGCATCATTTGTATCATGGTTGTATCACATGTTTAGTTGCTAAGTAAAATATTGACAAAAAGGGTTTGGCATTTCTCAGATACATCACATTGGTTTGTGTTTACAGAGTGCAGGGAACCAGCTCAAGGCTCTGCAGAAAGCTCTCAAGAACCCAATCGGAAACGCTGGCCTGTTCGCCGGAGAGCTCACGAAGAGAGTCAAAAGGTTGACAACAAAATTACTTGAGTTTTACAACAGGAAGTTAGTGGATCAGGAAGTTATCATTATTCGCCATTATCCTTCATTTTGTACTAGAGGGATTATATTTTATTACAATGTTCAATTCATATTTGTGTGGCCATAAATCACAACAGCAGTCGTCTCAAAGGACTCAAAATTGTCGATTCTCTAACACATCATAGAATCAAACCCTTTGAACACAGAAATGCTATTAAAAAAAATAAAATTAGCTAAGGGAGCAGATGACCAAGTTTCATGAATGTCCTATGTCTTACTCAAACTGTTGTTTTGTTTTACAGAAAGGCAGGTTTGGGCACTGGTCTGAGTCTTCAGGGGAATATTCACCCAGAGCTGGCTCAAAGTGGCGACTTGGTAAGCTTTTTTTTCATTTTTATATTCACAAATATACAAACAACTCCTGATTTGACCGTTTCCTGCACTTTGTTTCACTTTTAAGGCTGTCCAAGCTATCGAGAACTTTGGAGCTGCAGTTGAGGAGCTGCTGATCAAACATGGAAAGAATATAATCAGTAAGTTTGCCTTTAAAAAAAGATTATTTTAGAGTCTGTTTTTGCACCATCACACATCGTCGTCTTTCTCAGATGAGCAGTTTGTCCTGAAGAGGGTGGCAGACTGGGCCATTGACATTTATACCATGGTGGTGGTTCTGTCCAGGTACGTAGTCTCAGCATTCGTACTGAACGGTCGTTTCTAGGTCGTCTATAAAGAGGTCTTCAATTCTTCTTCTTCCACAGAGCGTCACGTTCTCTGAGCCAGGGACAGGCCTCCGCTCAGCACGAGAAGATGCTGTGTGACACCTGGTGCATTGAGGTGAGCCCATGGTGCTTTGTATTGTGACACTGGATTTTGATTTTCTACAGGCTGCTGTTGATAAATATACCCAGTGTGCAGTGTAGTTAATGATTTATTTAATACCTGCAGAACACAATTTCAGATATCTTTTACACTAAAACCGGTTTGAAAAGGGTTGGTAGACACAGCTTTAAATTACTCCAGAAGGAAATGCAACTTTTTATATGCTATATCTTCATCTATTCTTAATATTGAACAGAACCTAAATACCAAGTATCCATACTCAATATGGTGAGAGGGAGATTGGGATTATGTAAGCGTTCATACAAAGCCCTTTCCAAACCATGTTCCTTTCTATCTGTTTTTTCTGTTTTGTTAATTGCACAGGTTTGAAATATTGTTACATAAATGGGACAAAATTTGACATATGTGCATTTTGGATTTATTGTAAACTATTAGCAGAAGGACGTATAATATGACCTTGTGGCTTCATAAATGGTATTATTGTAACTAAAAATGTACAGTTCTTTGTCCAAAAAAATGGTGTATAGAAAGTTAGCGCAAAGTTGGTGACCTAGCCCAGACCACAGCCCTCCTCCTCCTCCCACTCGTGACGTGGCCTCATGCTGTCGTTGTAAACACACCCAAGAATTAACTTTGTCCTTGATTCAGAATGCTACCCTTATTATTTAGTTAACAATGGTATACGACGAGTTAGTTGTACTGTACTTCAATCAGCTGATTGAAGTACACAATGAATCTGATTCATTGTGAATAAAGTCACGCCACATTCATGGCGTTGCTTTGTTGTTACTATTGGGCTCATAGACAGCCTCTCAAAATTACTGATTCGTCTTGAACGTAAAGATTTTATTTTAATGAAAATTCACACACAAGTAACAGTAAAATAGAAAACCAAGGTTGGGCATGCTCAAGTATTCATATAGCACGAGATAATACTTTGTGGAACCCCCTTTCAGTCTTTCAGAGGTATGACCTAACATAGTTTTGCCCATTCCTCTTTACAAAACTCAAGCATTTGTGAACAGCAGTTTTCATGTCTTCAACAGATTTTCTGTTGGATTTAGGTCTAGACTTTGACCCAGTCATTCTAATACATGAATATGTTTTGTTTGAACCCATTCCATTATAGATTTAGTCTTGTGTTTATGGTCATTGTTCAAAATCTTTGCCCCAGCCTCTATACTCCAGCAGGTTTTTCCCCAAAATGTCCCTTTCTTCTGCTCCGTCCATCTTCCCAGCTATTCTTACAATCTTCCATTTCGCCCTTGAAGAAAAACAGTCCCATAGCATGATGCTGCCCCCTCCTTTTGTGACACTGGGGATGGTGCACTCTGGACGAAAAGCAGGATTCAGTTTGCGTCATACATAAAATATTGGGTTTGATGGCTCTCTAACTAAAGCTGGAGGGAATCCATTTAAAAAGCTACTTTGGACCAAATAGCACTTTAATGATGTTTGAAGGCATAGAAGTGTTGAAAAGAATAATATAGGAACTTTAAGGCTCCTCAGACTGAAAAGTATCAATGCCCACAGCTGGCACAAAACATTTCCACTGCTCCTGATGTACTACATTATGTGTTCCTGACAATTTGATATAACATGAAACTCGACATTTGTCATGAATGTAAATGTGTTTTTTCTTTCTTTCAGGCCCATGAGAGGGTCATGAGGGACATAAAGAACATGCGGTCCAGTGAATCCAAGCAGGTGTTCAGAAACCTGAAGGCCGTGTCCACCGCCATGGTTGAGAATGGGGGAGTGGTGACCATGCATCCACTGGGATTCTAATAACCTCACAAACTTCACACACTCGTGACTAAACACACTTCGCCTTCACTTCAACAAAACCATCAGTGCTGCATCAGGAACTCTGTTTTTAATGTCATTTTAGATGTCAACTGCTTTGGTGTTTAATGAAGTTTTGAGAGATGCCAAATAGTGCATATCTAATATGTAAGGAAACATGTTAATACTTTCATGGTCATTATCTTGAGGTTAACATTCTGATTCCACTCACAACTAAATCAACTCAACCTGGCTGTTTGTCCGTACAATACCTTGTACAGGTTTAGATCAAAGCCTTTGCCTTAGAAACCCAAAATGCTGCTGGAAAAGCTCTTTAATAGGAACCATAGTCTGGTTAAATCCTTCATGAGCAACAGTTTATTGGATGGGCTGTAAGTTGTGATATTGCAGCAGATTTCTCACTTGTTTATTGACATTTTATCAGGAAGCTAAACATTGGTTGAGGCAGCATTTATGCTAAATTATTTATGTTGGGTGTCTAATAGCATGACTCATTGCCTTCCACTGTATAGACTCATTATCTGTAAATGTAGCTGTAATAAGAACAATTCCATTATCTTTTGTTTTTGTAACCTTTTGAATGCTATTAAACTCAATTGCTCTATTGGCTTCTGTAGCTGTATCTTTTGTCTTTAGGTGACAAACATCCATGAAAGGTTTCACTTTTGACTTCCAGTGTAAACCCCCAGTCTGATGACAGGAACTGTATGTGCTTCTGATGTATAAAAGAAAAAAGTCTGTGGTGACACCACAGCGGTGCTGCTCTTGCTACAGTTCTTCCAGTCAACTTGCAGTTTGTCAACAATTGTCAAGAACTTCTGAACCTGCCAGACTGAAGATGTTTTTGTCTCCAGTGTCTGTCGCAAGATCCAGACTCATTGGCAAGTTCATGGATAGTATTGGTCTCATTAGGTCCTGACCCTCCAATTGGAAAACTTCTGGCTCTGGGGTCTCTAACGAGACAATGGTCTGAGCTGTCAGTGTTCGCTGCCTGTAGATACAAAGGACATGGAGTTCACATTATAGTAAAAATAGAATCAGACATTGAAAACTAAACGTTACCTTGCTCCGTGCTGGGTTGGGGTCCTACCCACCACAGTCCATCCTATAACTCTCTTCGGATATCTCACACAGCAAGGGTACCTGTTGGCCAGTTCATCCATGAGCTCCTCTTTGTGCAGACCATACACCACAGGCGCAATGCATTGGGCCAAACTAAAAAAGGTGAATACGATGACAGCAGACAGCTCCTTAGCATCTGCTCCGATCGTCCTTTTTTTGTGGAGCACGGTTAGAATAAAACTAACAAAGTTTGGGAGGATGTACACGGCCAGTTGTGAGCCATGCAGGGCTATAGTCCTACAGGCGGTCCTGTTGCGCCGGTTTAAGACTCCCAGGCGCCGGGTCTCCACCAGGACGCGCGCGTAGCTGAAGAGGATCAGCAGCGTGCACGCGGACAAGAGGACCACCTTGTGCAGTTCACCTTTACGCAGCTGCGTCCGGTCACAGTCCGCACTGTGGCTGACAGAGTGTGCCTCTGTCTGCAACAAACTGAGAGGAATCCCAAGCGCTATGGCCCAAGTGCACGCACCACAGAGCCACGGCCACGGAGCACAGGAGCGCGCACTCGCGTAGCGCAGGGGGTGGCACACGGCGCAGTAGCGGTCAAGCGCCATTGCCGTGAGCGTCAGCAGGATGTTGGACGCGCTACTGATGAGAACAGTGACCATGAACACGCACACAGAGCGGCGCGGCTGCGCGTTCACGTGCATCTGCAGGTAGAAAACACAACTTGTCCCGAGATACAGCAGCGCTGACAGCAGCAGGTGGAACAGCAGGACGAAGCGCGCATGTGTCCGCAGCCGCTCCGCGCGCACGATGCTCCAATTGATGATGACGTTGAAGAAGAGCAGAATAGAAAAGGACAGCGCAGACACATAGACGCGCACGCACGTGTAATCCCTTGTGGCGCGATCTGCTGCTGTTGTGCTGTTGTTGGACATTTCCCCGTGTGCAGAGGGTCTGATGTGCACAAGTGCAGGAGGAATCATCTTTGGTCATGTTCCTCCTCCTTAGAATCAAATTCAGAGCGCACCTCTTCCTTTCACTTGTCATGTGACCAACGGGGAAACAGTACGTTTGTTTAAGGAAAACGTGGCTAGACCTAAAACAAACAATTATCAGGAAAACCACCTTGAGCAGTTCGCCTTTATGATATGTTTGAAGTCCAAAGAAACGTTTTGGGTGGCCATCAACCAATTGAACAACTACTTTTCAGTTGTAATTAATTGAAAATGTATTCACGCAGTGTCAATTTGTTTCATGTACTTTATCAGCTTGTTTTATTCCTGTACTTTTCAGCTTGATTTATTTTCTGGTACAGTCTTTGGGTGCACACTGGGGACCCACAGAGCTGTGTTCCACTGCATTCCAATGTGATTTAACTGCAAATGGTAAATACAACGAATCTAAATATTAATATGAACTCCATTTTCTGCTGTATCCAAAATGTAGACTGTGGCAGATCTCTAATCTCTAAACAGATGTAAGTGGACAGTGGACAGTACATCTGAGTGCGTGCGCTTGTATTACTGTATATGTCCACATGAGGGCGCTGTTTGACATGAATGCTGTTTCTGTCTCAGACGCTCAGCAGCATAGATCCATGAGAAGAGCAGGGTCGTGACGTGATAACGGGTCTGCAGATATACATTCTACGGAAAACATTGAATCATCATAGTCCTCAACCTGCAAATAGACCAGAATAATCCACCATATGAAACAGCTGTATAATCAACAGTGATTCTGAGGAAAATAAGCATATTTCCTTATTTTTCTCATTTATGCAAAAGTAGTGCGCGTGGACCATGTGGGCTGCACCTGCTTTTTATGACGCTAACTGCACTATAAAGTTTCTGTACTTCCTTTCTCGTACAGCTTTTATCTCAGGCTGAGTTTTAAATCAGGCTCACTACAGACAGCAAAGGTAAGAACTACGTATGATATCTACACATGAAACACGACATGTGACTGAAATAATCAAAACATGATAGAAGGAATATTTAACGTAAGGCTATTTGTATTTGTCATAGGGAAAATACAAAAATACTGGTGTGTACAAGACTAATTCATAGACTATAAAAAGTCATCCTTCTTTATTGTCTTGGAGAAATATTTATTCAGTAATATTTTCCCCAACGCAGTATCATGTTTGCACCCAGGGGAATACTTAATCTTGTGCTTTGAATAGTCGGCCATTAGGGAAAAAAAGGATTTAAGTTTCAGGCTATAGGTCCGAACTGTACGCAGGATTTCTCTAATACTGATCTCTAATTTAATTTTTTTTTAAACTTAAATATAGTCTTTGAAAAAAATGCATGGCTTTGTACGCGATCTGGGCGTGTTTTGAATAACAAATCCATGTCTGCTAACCCGCGGCAGGAGACTCAGTCAACAATCAGCTTCAGAGTGTTCCTGTGGAAAATATGACGTGTATGACCACAAGCGGATAAAATGCAATGTTAATGTATGCATCAAAATGTATAAAAAAATAACAATTAAATTAATGTATGGGAGAAATGTAATTTTTTTTTTTTAAGTTCACAAATGAGCTGAATTATGTATTTTCTCGTTTTTATGCTAGAAAAAAATACCACGGTCAGACATGCTAGAGTTACTATGGAAAAATAAATGCTTCCTTATATGATAGATGGATGGATAATTTATTGATCCCTGTAGGGCAACATTCAGGTGTCCCACAGCAGAAGCACATCCATACAAACATCACTAACAACATTATTCTAAAGGTTACTTACTATAGTAATAAAGTGCACAAGTTTAACTCGGACAGACCTATTTAATAAAATAATAATAATAATAACAAAAATCAAATCCGTTTTTTTAAGTCTGCTTTTTGTTGTTGTCAGAAATGGCCATCAACCAGCAGCCAGGCCACGTCGTGACCATGACCAGCACCACCGGTCCTGGGAACTGGAGCACTGGCTTGTGTGACTGCTGCCATGATATGGGCACATGTGAGCAACAACTCCACATATATTCTGTCCATTTTACGGGCTATAGATTTTCATGACAATAATGTAATGTATCTTTGAATTCTATCTTATCTAGGTTGCTTCGGCTACTGGTGCTTCTGCTGTATGCAGTGTCAAACAGCCAAATTGTACGGCTGGTGCTGTGCCATGCCGTGTCTGGACTACTGTGGCGTGGTGAGCTGTATCCTCAGAGGCAACATCAGGGAGCGCCACAACATCCCCGTAAGACCTGCTTCTTTTATTCACACATGAATTTAGAATAGAAGCTACAACCAGTTACATTTCTCTATAACTCAACCTACAATGTGAAACTAATATATTACAGATTTATTTCACGAAAAGGGAACTATCGAGCCTTTATTCATTATTATGTTGTTATGACTCAGCTTGTAAAAACACCAAATAAACATTTTCACATAAATGCTAGCAATCAAAGTCCTGGTATATGTCACTTTGCCAGTATTGGTTTCACACAAGTTGAATTACAGAAATAAACAAACTTTTAAACAATAATTTAATTTTCCATGTTTCACCTGTGTATGTCTCCAACCCTCCAGCCTGACCATTAGATATCTCTATCTCTATTGACAAAGGGCGCGACAAGGTTTGAACTCTGTGTCCCATATATATCTACAACCTTTGCTTTGATACAACTCCCACTGATGTCTGCTGTCGGTGTGTCCTTGGGCAAGACCCTTAACCCCACTTTGCCTGAAGCCCCCGCTGAAAGATCAAGGCTCCTGTGGACTCACCACCTGCAGGAGGATCAGTGAGGGGCTGGTGCTAAGTGTACTGGGTGCAGCTCTGACTGCCACCCTCTCGACCCAGAAATGGATTAAGGAGAAGAAAATGGATGGATGGACCTTTGCTTTGACATTTTTATTGCACAGAACTTCCTTTGCTAGCTGATCAATCTGACATCTGCAGCAGAGCGATGAACACGTCATATTAATTTAGTCAAAATACTGAAGCGTTTGATTGAGACGCTGAAAAGAATGAAATGATGACGTCTGAACCAGTGGGGGCGGGTCCCGGCTCAAAAGTGGCCAAAATGACGTGCGCTGACATGCTTGCAATACCACCCCGGGCCAATGGGGGTGGACCCAGAAGAAGAATTAGCCAATGCTAACATATAGCATTGGCAGACCTCTCAAAACGTCTTTACAGGATGGTCCAAAAGTTGGCTCTTGGCCCAAAGCTCCGTTCCACATGTGTGTCAATGCTGAGGGGGGTGAATTTTTTTGGACCACTCTAGTTTACTTGCTGTGAATTTTTGAAGTCTCTCGTTCAAATGAATGGAGCTGCGCCGGCTGACGCATGCGCAGATGCGTTTTTTCACAATTTTCTTGTGGGCGGGACCACTCGCGGCCATTTTGGATTGCTCCAGTAGAGCACATTTTTTGGCCCATTAGTTAGAACGGCGGAGATAGGCGTGACTCTGTCCTTTAATATATACAGTCTATGGTCTAAATGCATGTGGTCGGTGTGAATGCATGTGGTTGGTGTGAATACATGTGGTCGGTGTAAATGCATGTGCTCGGTGTGAATGCATGTGGTTGGTGTGAATACATGTGGTCGGTGTAAATGCATGTGGTCGGTGTGAATACATGTGGTCGGTGTAAATGCATGTGCTCGGTGTGAATGCATGTGGTCGGCGTGAATGCATGTGGTCGGTGTGAATGCATGTGGTCGGCGTGAATGCATGTGGTCGGTGTGAATGCATGTGCTTGATGTGAACGCATGTGGTTGGTGTGAATACATGTGGTCGGTGTAAATGCATGTGCTCGGTGTGAATGCATGTGCTCGGTGTGAATGCATGTAGTCGGTGTGAATACATGTGAATGCATGTGGTCGGTGTGAATGCATGTGGTCGGTGTGAATACATGTGCTCGGTGTGAATGCATGTGCTTGGTGTGAATGCATATGTGGGAAAGTAGCTTGAAAGGAAGACATGACAGGCTCATTACACATCAAGTGGGAAATAAGAAGCTGTTTTGTTCTAATGTTCACAGCTTGTAAAACCCCTCAGAAAATGAAAAAATGCATATATATTTTTTACTGTAATCGTCAAAATGATAAAGGCTCAGCATATTTCCCTTTGCATGTAATGAGTCTATATCATGTATTGGAATTCAGTTTTTAAGTTGAATTACAGAAATAACTTATGAACAATATTCTTAGTTTCTATATTTCACCTTCATAACTTGACAACAGCAGAGGTGTCCTGTGCCAACAGGCAAGGCAGGCAGCTGCCTGGGGCCCCCAAACCGGCAGGGGCCCCCCACGGGCCGACTGATTTGACAAAAGTGGTCGACTTGTACAGGCTACAACTGCTACCTGCAGTGACGAGTTGGCGGTTAAAACTTTTTGTCTGATGCAAAACTTGCCACGTTTTTTATTAACATTTCAAAGACCCGCTACAAGACCCGGGGGGACCGGTCCTCCCAGTCCGTTGCCCCCAGACTGTGGAACGCCCTGCCTCTGTCCCTCCGTGTGGTCGTGTGGTCAACTCTGCTGATGCTTTTAAAAAGGGACTAAAGACCCTTCTTTTTAGGACAGCTTTTGGTTGATTTCTTGTTTTTATTTTATTTTCTATTTTTGTCTTATTTCTATTGTACATTCATATCTGCTTTTACCTTGTACAGCACTTTGTGATTTTTATTTATGAAAGGTGCTCTATAAATACATTTTACTTACTTACTTACTTACATTTAAAAAGCCTTTCTGAGGCAATCTGTATTGAATGGAACAGTGGTTTAGTGGTTAAGGTGCAGCGCTCACAGTGCAGTGGCCCAGTTTCCAATCCGGTTAAGATCTGGAATTTATATTAAACTTTATATTATATTCTATGACAGATTGCTCAAGAACGGTAAAAGGTAAAAACAAGCCGTTTTTTGCAGATTAAAGCTAAGAGCCTAATCTTTAATTTAGACTATACACTGAGGGCCAAATGAAAGATTAGATTTTGTAGGATTAATACACTTTGATAGGTAGTTTTTGTAATTCATTATAACATGATGAGTTAAGCTAAGTGAACAAGCTTAGAAAAAGACATGCTAAATTATTTATTATTGCTTTGTGTCACGATAAGTACTGAAGTATTCACCATTTTCTATAGACTGTACAGTATGCAAGGCAGGCCCCAGGCCTATCCATTTATTGTTAAAAATAAGAAATTATCTACATTTAATTTATATTAATGTAAAAAGTAATAGATATTGCATTTTATCTTATTATCAAATAAATATTTATACCTACTGTAATATAAACCTTTTTATGTGGTTTTGTGGTCGGTATCGGGGCCCCCAAGGATTCTGTTGCCTGGGGCCCCTGGGTACCCTTGGAACGCCACTGGTCAACATCCTATAACTAATGTGAGGCATTTATAAGTTAAGATAATTCTAACTTATTTCATATTTGCTTATGGAAGTGCTGGTCATTTTAGTTCCTTTAAAAAAACGAATTTTCCTAAAGTGGACCACATGAGTTACGCCTCCACTGAGGAAACAACTTTTTGGTTTCAGTTCGTGATAGTTGAGACGCAATATGAAAAAGTTGCTTCACCTTTGAGACAATGGTTTTGGTCTGGATTTGTTTAACATTTGCCTTCTTTGCTCTCCTCTTTAGGGCTCTTTCTGTGACGACTGCTGCAAGACCCTCTGGTGCTACCCCTGTGTTTGGTGCCAGATGAACCGTGAGCTGAAAATCAGGAAAAACCAAAGTACCAGCAGCACTGTTTTTGTCACCCACTCCTAAATCTGTTACAGCTAACTCTGATAACGGCTTTAGGTGGTGCTCATGTGTGCTGTGATGTGACTAATTGGTAGATTTTTTTCTGACCTTTGGATCTTTTGCATTAAAATGTTTGGATGACTAAGACGGTGAGCTCACTTCCTGTGTACCCCCACTCATAAAATGGCTTGTAAAAAATAAACTTTGTGAAGAAATCAGATCACGATTCATTGTGTTCACTTCAGCCATTTGTGTTATTATACAGTATACAGTATATAGCCTCATTCCCACTGGGAAAAAAACACAAGGATTTTGACCCAAAAACCCCTTGGTGCCCTTTCTGTTCCTTTCGCATTGAGAGGCTGGAGTTTCGGAATGACTCAGCATTCAACCCGCCTTGTGACCTCGTCTATTTGGCGAGGCGTGCGCAGTGTGAAGTGACCACTCCAACCAAATATAGCGAGTTTTTTGAAAATCAGATACCCCAGCTTTAATGAAAATACACATAGCATAGTTATTTTCTATGTAAGACTTTGCTAGTAATTTTTATCCCAGCTTGGCTATTATTCTAGATGTACATTTTACCTGTCCTGACTCCTGGTTCACACTGTGAGCTTGTAGAGGCTAAAACTCCTTTAATGGAATCATTTTAAAAGTAAAATATAAGACATTTAGCTTATTGTGGAATGTGTGATGTCTGCTGTGTGTAAAATCCAAAATATTTTCAACATGTTTTATGCAAACTGCAGATATATTGGTGAAACAATAATTAAAATGTCCAATGCATGTCAAAGTGAGAAAGCCATTCAAAGCAGATATGAGTTTTGTATCGGAAAAATCTTGACATGTGTTCAACCACAATTTGCATAAAATTTCCCCAAACACAAAATTGTTTGCATTTTAGTTTTGCTTCCTATTGGAATTATTTACAGATAAAATATCATACATTTGTGGCCATACCTGCATGTGAAAGCCAGATCTCACCAAACCTCTGAGGCTAAGCTTTGCAGGACCTGGTTAATACTATGATGGGAGACCTCTGGGAACAGCAGCGGCCACAGTCGGGCTGCTTTGACTGTAAAGTACCAAACTGTCATCAAAACCATCATCTCCTAAGAGAAAGATTTATTGTTAAGTTTACATTTAGAATTATTTTCATATATGTACGTATGTTTTATATTATGGAGGTATTTTGATGAATAACTACTTTACAGGGGTTTGGATATTTCTTCTTGGTTAATTCTTTTGAGTTAAATTAGTTCAGTGATGTTTGGATTGAAAAAAAATTGGACAAAAGGTAAATACGGATTATTAGACCGATACAGGAATTAATTATATTTGAATTTGACTATTGCTAATTGTATTTTGGGTTCATTGATTATAATAGAATAATGGGTACTGGCTTCAAACTTAGAACATGCAAGGATAGCTTATAACCTGGATTTACATTGAGAATCATATGGAGGGCCAATGGCCCTGCAGGCCCCACTTTAGGCACCGCTTGTTTAGATGAATAGAATGTCCATCTCAAAAGCCTGTTTTGCCAAATTTGATTGATGAAGGTTTATATTGATACGGATTCTGCGTTTTCTTGCTTGGTATTAGCTTGGTCAATCTTAAATATATGTGATCTTTAATAGTCCAGATAATATTTAGTGATCATTACCTCAATAATCTATTTGTTGTAATCAATCAACTATGTTGTTTTATAGACAGAATTGCATCATATCTACACAAAGTATATTTGAGCAATGGAAAACAGGAAATTGAAAATGTGTCATATAAGATAAGATATTCTTTAATTGTGTCACAGTGGAGAACTTTCAGATCTATATATCATACAGTATATCTATGAGCACTACATGGCGTCAGCCCCCCCAAAGTCTGTATGAAAGTAAACCTTCATAATATTTTACAAAAAATCAACAGATTCACGCAAATCGTTACTATGCAAAATGTGGCTTTCCATAGTGACGATTTGTGAATCGTCACTATGGAAAACTTTGGAATAGTTCCTTGTTGGGGAAAACATTCCCACAACAAAGCACTATTCTCTTTGAATATATACTCCACACAAGGCGGTCTTGTGAAATACTGCATTCTCATTTAACCATACTCTGGGGAAGGTTTTATGATGGTTCCTATCAAAGCCAGGGCATTATCAGATGACTTTCTCAAGGTAACCGTAACTCTTTCTTATCATCAGTGAAATTACATCCATTATTTAATAAAACATATTTATGACAAGGTGCCGCACCTTTTCCACAAGTGCACTTTGAGATCCCAGTTTCCAATTCCTGTTACTATCAATAAAGTTGCATGATGAGAAACTTAAACCAGGGTAGGTGTGTTGCGCCATGTGCCTCTCTTTAACGTTCACTGGAAATAGAAACATAGAAACATGGTGGAAATAACTAAAATTGTATTATCAAAGATTGTACTTTTTAGTGGGCAGCATTTTATTCTCTATTTATTTATTGACTTTATTTAGTGTTTTGCAAAAATTTAGCGCCAAGAATTCAGTTATTAAAAAACACACTGTTTATTCATTTCTGTTATCAATCGTCTTTTCGAGCTTTTGGCTATGTTTTGACGATTTTAACAACATTGTTCATTCATCAAAATCCTATCATCTCAAACCTTACACTATTACGTTGTTGTGGCAATTTCTTCCATGAAAAAAAAATCTTTACACCAGAACAGAAAGCACCTTCGAGAACACATCTGACCTATGTTAAAAATAAAATGGTCTATTTCAGTAATGAGAATATCAAAGCACCTGCCTAATCAAACTGTCCTTTTCACCATGTACAGTACTTTCGTTTTGCCCTATATCAGCTACTGTGTGTAGATATGGGGAAAAACAGATACAACTAATCTTAATGACATCTACATTACGCAAAAGAAAGCTGTACGAGTTTTCCACAATGCTTGGTACTTGGATCACACGCACACACACACACACACACACACACGCACACGCACACGCACACGCACACGCACACACGCACACACGCACACACGCACAGACGCACACACGCACACACACACACGCACACACACAGTTGACTGCAGTTGACGCTCAAATAAAATAAACAAACAAACAAACAAACATCCAACTCTACTGCACTGCTCTCTAGAGTCTCTCTGGACTGTAAAGCAAGTCAATATTATTTTCATCATAACACAAGCATGCAATGGACCCTCCACTAGAACTTATATGTACCCCTTTGAAGCTGGTGTGTCTAACTGATGGCATATTCAATCAGAGATCATTTTATCTTCATATTACCCTGTGAGTTATGATACTATGCTTTGCACTGATTGGCTGATGGAGGGTAGTCCTCTTTGATCTAAAGATGTGACCATGTATCCGTGTATGTGAAGACTAGAATCATAAACTAGTTAGAAGTTGTTTGAAGATCTTGATTTTCTTTAAATCAATCTATTGGGATTTGGAAATTAAAGGTATGTAGTCCAAAGAAAAGTCAGAAAAGTTATTTCAAAGAAGAAGGACTTGAACTATACACAAAACCATAACCCAGCTGTTTTATCTAATGTCCCAACACCACGGTCTCCACTATCTCCACATCAGCACAGTCTTCTCTGTCACGCTCATGTTTATTATTGTTATTTGATTATAACTGATTTACATTTCCCCTGGTGTCCACAGCCCATGAAGGCTCTCCGTGCCTCAGCCGGGACGTCCCAGCCGGTCCTGTCCGCTCCGCAGGTCCTCACGGTCTTCTATCAGGTCCCTGAGCTCCGTGACCTGCACCACAGCTTCTACTGCGGTCTGAAGACGCGGCTCAAGACACAATCTGATCTTGAACACCAGGGCCGGAGTGGGACAACATTTCAGGCCGGGAGCTTTTCATCCATTCAGGCCAAACAAGGTTCTAAATTTGGGTTTTTGTCATTGTATTTTGATGTTCTTTTAATAGTTTTAAGATTGACTGTCAAAACTTTTGTTTTCTTTATTTTTTTTTTATATTGACTGTTTATATAATCTCGGACGTTTAAGGATTGTTGTACGTTGCTTAGCAACGTAACGTTTATGGAGTTTAGTGAGAATAAAGACACACACACACGCACACACAATGAACTAAGTGTTCATTAGTGTATAACTATAACAAGCTAATCAATTATTGTTAAAAAAGTAGTAAGGTAAAATCACATCGTTACAGCTCATATAAAAGGAAAAATAAAAACGTGTATGAACCATAAGTTGGAGAGACCACTCATTTCAACCGGGGAAGCTACACTGGGTGCACTGCTAGGCTGGCCTGGCTGTGTAGCCGACGTGTGACGTCACATTTGTTTAATTTTGCTCTGGCCCAATGACAGTAAAGCTTTGGCCAGTGTTGTGCCAGTTCACAGCTTTTCTGAACTAGTTCAAGTTCAGTTCATACATGCTCAAAGTGAACAGTTCACGTTCGAAGTTCTCAATTTTAATTCTGAACTAGTTCAAAGTTCAGTTCATTTTACTTTTTGCGAGATATTCAAATATTTTTTTTCACTACGAGCTAGAAATCACAATACGTGGTATATATATATATATATATTATATATATATATATTATATATATGTTCAGGATATAATTATATATTATATCCTGAACACTGCACAGGATGTTTTGACTCCAATGCAGACAAGATTTACATGGGTTTCAATGGGAACTGAGTTGTCCCATCTCTGCTCATAAGTACAAACTGTAATGCGCTGCAGAACGTGTGTCTATACTTTATGTCAAATGTAAACGGCCCTGTGTCACTGACTTACCCCTGTGTTTTCATCACGGCACATGTGAGTCCAACAACCAGTCGGCAAAGGGGGGATGGGGAGGGGGGACTCTGTGCCGTGACGTCAACTCCTCATTCTCAATAGCACTAGCATACAGCGCCGCACCGCAAGTAGTACACTGAGTCGGGGTGCGTTCACAGACGGTGGAAACCGTAGGAATTTTTAGTTTTCGGCGGAAACAGTGCGGAGAATACAGGAGGGAGGAACTTTCTCTCGTTGCGTTTCAAAAGAGAAAACAGATTTCACTCAGTTTTAAATGGAAAACAAATTGTCTGCCGTTCATGACACATAATATGTACTAATTCACGTTCAAGTTCTTTATTAAAAAATGTGTTGCATTCAGTTCAACGTTCACGGAAAAATGAGCGTGTTCATGAACGCGTTCTTTTGAACTCGTTCACGCACAACACTGGCTTTGGCCTGGGCCTTGCTCATTGGACCAGGCCACCAGGCAGGGTAGGAGTTTGCAAAGACCGTGAGGATGAAATTAAAAAAAATGATATGGCCCAGGCCACTTTGACACGCAGGCCACCGGGAGATCTCCCGATGCTCCCGATGGCCAGTCCGGGCCAGTTGAACACGAACCAGAGGAAAATAACTGCTGCAAAGCACGAGAAACACAGAGCCCTGCGCTGACTGTAGGCGACCTCTTTCTCAAACTGGTAAAGATCTGATCAGTGAGGATGTGGTGCATTAGAGACGATTAGGAAACAGTTTGTGCCTCGTCAAAAGAATCATCTTTGTAATTAACTCTAATGTATTATATATATTACACACTTATATTTATTATCTATATGAATAAAACTGTAATTATAACTGTATTCATAACAGACCCTGAACATCAGAATACTAACTCTTTAGGTGCCATAGTTGCAGAATTGTAACATAAGCTTCTGAATCCAGGACACTTTCTTTACAGACAAAGGGAAATATATTTATAAAACAGCATTCATGCAGAAGCAACTCAGGGTGCTTAACAGGCACAGAAAGAACATCGCGGGATGATAAAACATTATTTGAATAAAAAATGAAAAAAGAATAAACATACACATCTGTAATACAAGGAGGATTTTCAAAATTTTTAGAAAAGAACCACCCTCTCCATTTTTTGAACAACCCTCTCAGGTCTTATTTGACAAGCACATATCACCAGAATGATTGACAATTAGGAGGACCAATAGTCTTGATTATCCACCCGGAAGTACAAAGTATATATAATCCTCTTAACCCCAGCAAGGTTTTGTTGTATTATCGATGCAGTACTTTTTCCGCTAGATGTCACTAC